GACATTATTTTGGCAAACATTATTTGGCAAAAAGTGCAAAATGACGTACATGCCAAATACGCGCGATTTCAAATTAAGCGAAAATATACAGATGTTAAGAACGAAAAGAGAGGAAAGAGCGCTGTGCCTCACACTTTAATGTTGACTATGTCTCAAGAGAATTTGAAGTTTACATTTTATTTCGCGAATATGTAAGTTTAATCGATGACGATATTTATAAGCGAACTTAATAAAGAGCCCAACACAATACAAATCTCTGCTTATTTCGTCGACCGTTTTCATTATTTTTATCAGTATTGCTGATTTAATTATGAAAATAATATTTAACGAGCGTAAATTCGGATTATAATACTTTTCTACCGTCTCAAGATTACAAAATATATTTTTAATTGATGAAAATTCTTTAAAAGCCACTTAAATCTCGAAAAAAGTTTATTTTTCTTTGTTTTATTTACGAGCGTAAGTTTCCCATTGCTCTCTACAGCAGAAATGAACTTTATTATTGCGACGTAAATCTATTAGCAGCGTGTAATCAACTATGATGTTGATCTACGCTTTTTTTATTGGGGAAGTTGAGAAATATTTTCCTTGCTTATATTTATAAAATGGGAAATTATACAATTATATATTTATAGTAAAAACTCTAAATTAGTCTAAGCACAAATATCTTAAAAAAACATGTATATATTTTTTTATTAAATTTTTTTTTGTTTATTTTTTAGGGGAAATATATATAGCAAATCTATCTTAATTTGTAATAAATGTTATTAAATAATTTTGTGGAAATTAAAATTTTTATATATTTAAAGGGATTGTTAGCAGTAGATAAATTAAAAAAATAATAATATTGTTTGAAAAACTCCACGCATTTTCTACACTTGCAATTGTTTATCGAAAATTTATCAATTCTTCGGATGCTACGTTTGTCTACTACCAATTGCGTCTGATTTTTCAAAGTATAAGTGGGAATACGATTGCGAAATTGTAATGTAAATTTATTAGCAGCGTATAATCAATTGTGTAAAATTAAATAGATTCTAAGTCATATTTTAAAATAAATGTTTTATTAAAGACGCGTGTTTTGAAGTAAACATCGTCGTTAATTAAAATTCTGCGGAAATGATTTTTAAAGAATTAAATATTTGCAAATTTAAATATAAATAAAAGCTTGATAATTTCCTGGGGAAGTAAATATTCTGTAGAAATAAATACATTTGCAAAACCAAGCGTAAATATGAATTATAAGTCTAGATTGAATATCCGGATTATAGAATTAATTTAAATATTTAAAATTATATACCCAACTTTAAGATATGTAAACAAATAAATAAATTTTTTATTCTATAATTCACATGTATTTACATATTAAAAATGGAGACCATTAAACAGAGCATTACTATAAATAAAGTATATATACCACAAAAATACCATACAATTAATAAGTTATTATTTACTTTCTGTTTACTATACTTAATTAATAAATTATTATATAGGGCATAAGAGTTGACAGAAAAACACTAGCATTTTGGTAGAAAAAATTCAATGGATTATAAAAGCTTCGCAGAAGAGAATGAGGTATGAAATCACACCTAGCGTTTACGACTTGACTCATCGATTTGAATCATTTATTATCAAATATAGAGCAACGGGAGGCATTTTTATTCGTCGCGGATCGAAAGAGACGACGACGAAACGGTCTCTTGGATCGTTCCCTCGATTCCGTCTGATGAAACGACCGGCTACCGTCGTGCGGCCCGCTCGCGTGCTTTCAAACCGGAAGAGATATCCGAGTGTTTAATTTATCGATTGCGGAGAATCGGCGCGGCCGGCGACGTCGGCGAGCGCGATGGGCCCGAAGGAACGGACAACCGGACGGGGGGACCTCTCTCTTTCTGCGCGTGTACAGTTACTTTTCTCTAATTTAAATAGATTGCATAAGTGTTTCGCGGTCCATTCGACCCGTCTCTCTTCACACAAATATTATCCGGTCAATTCAGCTTCTTCCCCCCCCCCCCAATCCTCCTCCTCTTCTCCCTCGAAGAGATAGAAGAGATCGCGCTTTATATGCGCATAAAATCACGCGTAAATCGTCCAAGTATAGGAATTATCGCCATGATTGATATGTATATATGCCGCAATACTCAATAATAAGTTATCTTGGTTTGAATGATATTGCGAAAGGGAGTGTGTAAGTGCAGTAAAGTGAGTAAATCATAGCGTAACGAATTCTCGGAGCAAACTGGTAATATATTGAAAGATGCACGCACAACTGCGTCTCTAGCGTATCACTACGATGTAGTAGGACGTTGAAATTGTTGACTGACATCTTGATTTATTATTGTACCGTTTTACAGATAATATTCTAATATTTTCTTAGAGATTGGAATCTACGATAAGGGTCTACATTTCTTATTAATATTTCTTTTATTTTCATATATATTTTTTATATCTCTAAGCAAAATAAATTAATAGTTTGAAAAATCGAAGATTAAATTAGATTCCTTTTTCATATAATAAAATTTATTAGACTAAATTCTTAGGTAAATTCATTAGATTAGATTTCTTTTTCATATAAGAGAATTTATTTTCAATCATTTTGAGATACTTTGCAACCGAAAATCAACACGCAAAAATTGTCTTTACGATAATTTGTCGATAAAATTCTTATTTTTAACCAAAAGCTTGACCCTATCTCAAGGATAATTCAAAGATAACTTTTGACCGAATTAAATAAAAAGCCACGAATACCTCGCAGCATCTCGAACATTCTCTCCCGTGATTTTCTCGATGCGACGAAATTGATCGATGGAGGCTCTTGCGAATATCAGCAGCGTCCCCTCGCTACAGATTTACCGATGCGTCAGTAATATGCAATTCCCCACCGACCCTCCGAGGTCAACAATTTGTTACGGGGACGGGGACGTTCAAGGAACATATCAACAGCGCAGTTGATTGACCTGTTGTTGTTGTATGATACATTTTGCTACTAATCCATATCTTTGCTCTATCATAAAACGTGTACTATGATCGGAATAAAAGAGTCAACTTGTAACGCAAATATTATTAAATATTCAAATAACAAACATTGTTTCTATTCTTTGGATTTTATGTTCGAATAAATATGTTTGCTTATTACGTGTTGACAATTGATATCAGTGATAAGAACCATAATTACGTATTAAACTCAAAAACATTATAATGTGATAAAATTGTGAATGAAAAGACATATCGCGAGAAAGAAAGAGAGAGAGAGATTTTACAACTTTGCAAATTTTACTGAAATATTATATTGTTTAAGAATAGCAATAAAATATTTTTATCAAATAACAAGAGTAAATTTAAAAATTTGTAGCAGATATTTAAATGTCTGTCTCAATAATCTAACTTTTGTGAGAATATTTTACTTTGTCAGTATAGTCCTTTTTATATTTTACATATCCTCGAGTCTGAGATTTTAATTTCGCGTATCCTGTTTGGTATATATTATCGTTTTCACAAAAATCTGTCCTTAATCCTCAAAGCGACAAATTCTCCCACCGTACATAATCATCATTACTTTATTATTTAGAGAAACGGTACAATGGCCTTTAATAAGATAATAAGTGGTTGTGAAGCAATGAGTTAACACGAAAGTGAGTCCGCAACAGGGCGTTATGGTACAAACGTTCGTAAATGATGACTAAGGCTTGCACCAAACTGCGTGGGCATAACATAATTGCAATAACTAAAGTGTTTCCTGTTTATAGAAAAAATGCACTTCCGTAAATACTTTTAATAAGAAAATGCAATATGCACTCGTCTATTAATTTCAATCTAATAAAATAAATGCGTTCTATAGATATAGTTTTGCTTTTTCCTTTTTTCTCCCTTTGTCTAGATTTTTTTTCTTTAAAATTCAATTAGCTTTTTGTAAATTTTAAAGTAAATTTTAAAGTAAAAGATTAATTATGATTAATTCAATATATGTATTATAATTAAATTACAATATTAATAATTCAAATATATGTATTATAATTAAATTACAATACGTAATAAATCTAAATAATTTTTTTATAAAGTATATCACATATTGTTTGTGTAATATATATTAATAAAATTTCATAAAAGGCTTAAAGGACCAGCGCAAAAGATGCGAAAATAAAAACGGTTATATTAATATAATAAACCTAATAAAACGTTTATTTGAATTAAGTGACAAACATTGCGTTTCGATCCAATTTGGATCCTTTTCAATGTCAAATCACGAAATACAATAAAAAACATGAAAATAAAATAAAAATAAGATCAAATTAACAGTCATTGGTAATAAGTAACGGAAAGACGCAAAGCAAAATAAATAATAATAAAAGAGTCAGAACTGTTAAAGTAAATTACGCTAAATAACGAGCGAATTCAAACTAACAAAGAATAATATATATTAAATGTTAGGACAGATTTAATAGTTATAGTTTTTTTTAAGCGTTATTATTTTAAAACAAGGAACAATACGAATTGTGAAATTAATTCAGGTTTTTTTAATTACCTTATAATAAATCCGTTTTCCTTGTCTTCACTTTCTACACTTATTTACATTCTGTGCTTTCTCTCTTCAAAAAGAGTATATATTTATTCTAAATTTCAACGAGTTAATATAAAAGTATTAAATTAAAAAGAGGAACGTGTAATGTAATTGAATCGATATTCAATAGAGATTTAATTGTATAAATATTTGGATCAATTAGTTTTTGCTCAAGCTCTTCCTCTTTCGATTCTTTTTATTTATTTAATGATGACATTGCCAAAAAAATAAAAAATACATAAACGTGTAAAAATATAAAACTATTTTTACAAAAAATATCTCTTACGATGTTTCTCTCTAATAAAACTAAAATATTTTAATGAATAAAGAATTCCAACACACAAGAAATTAGTAAATCATGAAAATATAAAAATCATCAAGATCTATCCCTATTCGCGATTATTAATAAATCAATTAATCGTGAACAGTAACAATAAATTACCTTGATTGAGCAGGAAACGCGCTTTAAACCTTCCACAAAATCTCTGCACAAAACTTTATCACCACCAATTAAATCCCTCGGCAAGCTCTAGGCCAATATATCGATGATTTCTCTTCCCTTTTCACGGTGGCACTTTGTCGCGCGTTTCTTCTCTGCTGGACAGTCAGGCGGGAAGCGCGGCACGTTTCACCTGCACGTCTTCGTCCGTCCGCGTGTCATGATCGGGGATCGAAATTCGAGCGTGAAGGAGCGCGCATGAAATCGAACGTCGTCGCGGGAAGCGGGATTCGAACTGCTCGACGTGCCGCTCGAGATTCCGCTCGAGACCCGCTCGCAACTCGCTCCGCTGGTCCGCTCCTCCACTCACCACGAAGCGTACGCGCGCGAGAGATCAATCAGCACCCACGAGAGAAACGTTGCAAATGTTGCAAACGGCGCAAATTTGCGAAAAGTCTTTGATAGGCTATCATTCTCTTATCTGAGTCGAAAGAAATCTCGAAGGAATCTTTCATTCATCGCAAAAGTCGTGGAGAAATTATGAAAGTTTTGTGGACTGCTGAGAACTTTTCTTTATGCTTTTTAGATTGATCTTTATAAATTTGTCGACAAACAATGTTCCATTTTTGGATAATCAAAATTTTATCAAGAACGAAATTAGCATTTTTCTTTTCAATATTTAATTTTTCTACATGCTGAAATATTTATAATTATTTACTTAAATATTAATATAATATTTTATTTATATAATTATTTATATATTTTATATAATTATTTATATATTTTATTTATATAGTTATTTATTTAAATATTAATTAATTAGCGACGTTTTAATTTCTGTACAGATTAAAATATCAATGATTCAATTATTCAGCTTTAATATCAATCCAAGATCTTTAAAAATGATTAATGATAGTGGACAACTTGATCTAGTCGCGCTTAAAAATGTGAGAATGGCGGATGATGGTCTGTATGAACCACCCTGTATAATCTCGGAGAGCTGATCTTCTCTCGGGCGATGCAACTCAAATGCATAGAGCGTGGCGCATCTGTGGTAGACGGAAGTAATGAATGTGACCGCGCGCTTATCTAGTTTGACACTTCCTTGCTAGTCGATCGCATGTGCTCGTGTATCCATATGAATCGGTCGTCGTTTTCAGAAACGTCATAAAAGCACCGCGATTAAATCCCGCTTCATTCGTCGATTAATTCATCGATTTACGTAATAGATCGTAATCAAATTCGGTCTTTGTTATGCTGGTCGCGTTGCCCGCGCTGGCAGCGCGTTCCCATTGCCTCATATCTTGGAGAATAATATCCGGTCGTAGAACCGCATCGAGATTTTTGCATTTGAATTCCATTCGAAAGAACGGAGTTACACAGGCAACTTTAATCTATCAAAGATATGGTTGTGAAAAATATATTATATCAGAGGAATTTAGCCCATATGAATTAAGCACTTGTAAAAAAGAAACATCTTTTCTCATTACATTTTCATTATTACATTTAAATTTTCGATTAATGTTTTATAATATACTTAATAATGTACATTTAATAATATAAATATATATTTATTTATAAATGTATAATAAATAATTATAAATTTCTTCCTTTCTCTAAAATGTAAGATATTCTTCTGAAAAATAAGATGCACTTTTTGTACCAATCAATAAAGATACAGCATTCAAGAGATTTGATTAGAGTATGAATTCTTTTTTATTAATATAACAGAGATTATTGTAAAATGTTTTTTTTTATTTTTAATTAATTAACATTATCACATCTATAAATCTCTAATAATCTCTAATAATATCTCTATATAACGTTATCCATAATATTATTCATAATTAAATTATTAAAATTATTATATTATTAAATTCAACTCGAAATTAAATGAAAATTAATTAAAATTAAATTATTATTAAAATCATTATTATTCATATTCTTTAATTTGTTAATTTTTTTTTCTTTAATCTTTAATTGTTAATTTGTATTCTTTTCTTCGTTAATTTGTTTTTTTTATTGACAATATCATTAATGAAATGTTTAAATCAAAACCTTATATAATACGCAGTTTTTGAACCATGAATCACCACTAGTGGTTATCGCGAATTTGCGTGCTCAGCGATGATAGTGAATGTATTAAGAGGGACAAAGAAAAGTTGACAGTAGCAAATACATTATCTTTGGAAGAGAGACATCAAAGACACTTCAGTTGACCTTCCAACCTTTGCAGATCGCAGAGGGAATGATAAAACTATCGAAGAACCAGCCATCACAGCGTTTACTGCACTCTGCGACCTGCGTTTCCTTTTACGTCACGTTCTCGCGTTCGATCGACTCGAACGATTCTCTGCAATAACGATATCTGCGGATTTTCTACTTCCGAGAAAGTTTCTCGAAATTTTATTTATTTAGCATTTGAATGTATTTTATTTAGCAAATTATACAACATGTATTTCATTTATTGAAAATTTACACAATTAATTTCGTTGAGAATTTTTTATTTGTTACAGAACTTAATAAAACTTTTTTGATAATTTTTTTATTGCACGATATATTGTAAAACTGAAATGTTTACTATTTTATTCAATTAAGATTATAACTTGTAATATAATGGAATTAAGTTTTTATATTATTTTATTAAATCTTAAAATTAAAGAAAAAGGTATTTCTTCGTAAATGGCTTTATTCTAAATAAGTCAATCAGTGATGCATTTTTAAAATTCTGTTGCTTTGAAAAGAATGAATATTTGGAGGATTAACACGATAACGACGCTATTGTGAAATGTGCATTCTACGAAAAGGGATCCATGTCTAGTTTGAGGACAATGCAAGCAAATACCTGTGTAGTATTTTATTCTTCCTGACTGATCCTCGAGCCGGTTACCTGCGCAGGTAGGTTTCTGAAAAAATCAGGTTCTCGTGAATTTTTTCGTTTTACATCGTAAAAAATCGATGATTAATAAGTAGTTTCCAAAATCTAACGTACTTGTGTCTCTACGTATTGTGTATGCGTGTATGTTATTATACCAAACTTTCTCTTCGACTTTTAAAAATACATTCTATAAAAAATTAATTATATTGTTGGAAAAAAATATTTTATATGTGAATATGCTGGTGGGATATTAGACAATATTTTTATTATAAGTTATTCAAATAAATGCGCGCAAAATTAAACATGTATTTCCTGAATAGGAAACATTTTTTAATTAATTGATAGTTAAAACTATAAAAAAACATATCTAGCAAATAAAATAAATTACATTATAGTAATATAAATAATAAGTTTAATAAATGTTAATTATTATTTAAATATTACGAAATGCGTAAAGTGCGGATATTTTCGTGATTATATATTGGGGGAAGAATAATTTGATATTTTACAATCTAATTTATGTGGTTTTTGAATATTCGTCTCTCTGCTTGAATTTTACTAATCCCAGTAAAGCATAGAAATATTTGACTACGATCAAAATTGTCGCGACCTCGAATTCAATATATTTTAATCGAGAATATCAAATAAAATATTTGAACAAGCAGTCTCAAAAATTTATATTAAATCGAAAGCGATTTTTGATGAATTAATCTATGTTTTTTTAAAAAATACACGTAGATATATTTTATATGTATATTTTTTATATAATTTTTCACTATCAAAAGAAAAGCAAGTTATAATTAAAAACAAAATACATATTTGATTCGTAAATAGTAAATTTAAAATTTCTAAAAAAGACACATCTTAAATTTTTGTAAGATCTTTACATTTCAAAATACTTAAGAATTGAATTTTTGGATTTTCTATGACATATGTTTCTTGTGTGACGTTTTCTAAAAATAATTGAAATTAAATATATCGAATCAAAAATAAATTTCTATTTCATGTGCACAATTTTCTCATGCGTAAGATTTGTCGAGTGAAACATCTTTCAGTTTCAATTACTCACCGCATTGTGGAAACGAAGCAAATGATCTGCCAAGTGCATGAGAGAGTTGTCGAGACTCTTTTCTCTATGGATTCTTTGAGTGGCTTACAAAGGATCTCTTTTCTTTGATAAAATTCTCCGTTCAAGATCGATTTTGGATAATTGATAAATATAAAGAATGTATTTAAATATATATCAAAACAATTCAATATTTTAATATATTTTATATAGTTTACATAGTTTTATATAATTTTTTAATTTGTTTTAAAATAATAAAATGTTATTCATGATTAATATTCAACAACTATAATGTTTATAGTAATGAAAATTTTTTCTTTAAAACTTGTCCATTGTAATGTAATCCAATTAGATTGAATGTCCAATTGATACTCGAGATATTATAATACTATACATTGAAGGAAATCAATTTGTTACGAGTATATTATAGATTCAAAGATCTCGATCGGTTATATATTTCATAACTCGTGGAGGTGTTCATTATTATACCGCTATTATTATCACTGTCGTGACGGTGGCAATGATCTTGCCAAGGCTAGAGATCAAGGCACGCGGTGATGATAATGATAACGAGAGGAATTACCATTCGCTTATGTGTGCAATCAGCACATCCTTGAAAATTACACCTTGAAGATTGCAGTAAAAATCTTGGAAAGATTTTAATATTAATTGAATCAAATATATAATTATTTTTATTCTATTTTTTAAATCTTTTCGAATTTCGAGAATAATGAACGATATCACGATGCGACGCACAATAATAATGATGATGATATATTTAAAAACTGGTTGGGTTGCAGACTTGTTACAATTTTTTCTTCGTGGTAATGCAGATGTACACATTACATCACCGGATGTTCCCTCAGTCGTTGACGTTAGACATTAAGGGACTTAAACTAAGAGAAATGGGAGTCGCTCGGCAACATGCTTGCTAAAGGCAGTAAAAAAGAGAGACAACAAGAGAGAACTATGGAATGATTTAATAGATAACTAAAGAATTTTAACAAATTGTACAACAAATAATATTTATAATTGTTTCTATAAATTACATTTTTGTTATATTTTATTAAAGCTTATTTTAATCAATATTAAATATAAATTATACAAAGGATTAAAAAGCTCTTTGATACCTTGAATTTATGAATATATCTACGCGATTCGAATGGAATTTTATACATCAATCTATGAATTAAATATTTTTGTAATTAATTTGTAATTAATTTGTTTTTTTATTTATATGTAATTAAATAAATTTTAATTTAAAATATGACTACCATTGTCTGTCAAACTGTTTGTCCTTCCAAGCATTATATGAACTAATTTATTTAATTTTTGAATGTTATTACATTATGTCGCGCAAATCTTTACTTTATCTTTCTGATTTAATGTTCACCGAAAGAGAGGGACTGGCCATAGCTACTTTGAAAATTAAAAGTAATACGGTTTTAAAGTAACACTGTATTCTCTTTTTTAATTATTATGTAACAGAATTACTCAATTATCGCTAAAACATCGTTATTTCTACACTATTACTCTTTTTGCATACAAAATCAATAAACAAAAACTCATCTTTAGCAGAGAGTCTAAATTACGTGACAATGTTTCTTAATCGGTTCATTGACGCGCTTTATTTTACTTTGAAATATCTCTTTACCCTGCAGCAAGGCTTCGCTTTCACCGGGAATCTTATTAATAAAGAATATCGCTCGTCTGTAGACCGTTTAAGTTTGCAGCGCCGCGGGGGCGTTCAATGACAGTTGCGTGCCCGGCGACGTAGACGGGCGCGATTACTCGCGTGTAACCGCGCGTCGAGATGTAACACGCGTCAACTGCCCTGATATGACAACTCGAGACTAACCATCAACTACGGGACAATCTAGCCATCAGTCTTAAATGGAATATATTTACGGTCGGGTCGAGTGAACGCGGCGATGCCCAACACACATGACATCAGCATCCGCTTTCCTTCGTCGGCATCAGCTCTTTGCTTTTCGTGGTCATTTACTCATCTGGGGGGAGCCTTCTTCTCGTCGAATTAAAGTCTTCAATTTGCGACTGAGACCGCGTTGCAATCGCGATGACTTTGATCGTCGGTGTAGAACGGATGTCGAGGATTCGAAATTCGATTATGCAATGAACGGCGATTGTAAGCTGATTGATTTCGAAGATTGATCATAATTGATCGCCTTGACTTATTGTATTTGATGGGCCTTGATTTATCGTATTTGACCTAACGCTTGATATGTAATAATTCTAGACTGCAATCGCTATTGCATTGTATGCAAAATACGATTTTATCGTTAAAAATACACGAGATAATCTTTTTTACAAAATGTCTCAGAATTTCAATAAGTTTCTGCTACGAATATGATTTATAATTTTGTAGAAAAAGTTGCGGCTCGAAATAAACTTTCTTATTTATTTTATTATTGTGATAAAATAACATTATGTGTATTAATATTGTTAATTATTTATGATATAATTGTATATAATATAATTGTATTGTGATATGTTAATTGATTATAATATAATTGTAGCAATTGTGTCGAAGGAAAAATTTACATTTTCTTTTCTATTAACTATATTAATTATATATTTTCTATTAATTATTCTTACATTTCTTACGTATTAAAAAGAAAAATATATACGAAATATATCTTCCTATATAAGAGATAATTATATCTAATATAAAAGTCGGGGTCAGGTGGATGCTGAATATTTTACCAATCCTGACTTTTCTCGCTTTAAATCGATCTATAATTGTCAGAGAGAGCTTATTAATATACACATATTATGTGTGTGTGTTTTTAGTATTTTGCGACGTGACGAGAAAATCCAGTTCTCGACAGAGAATGCATAACCGACTGGCTTTTGCTGATCGGGCTCTTCGTTTGATAACTGCACCAGATAAAGAAAGGTCGATAAACGTTATACGAGATGGCCACCCTGTAGAGCGACCAGGCCATCGTTGGGAAAACTAGTCGGCTTTTCAGGGTGGAAGGTAATCGGTGGTGGAGCGCTTGCGCCTGAAACGCACCCCCTCCGTGAAAATTTACCCCTCGTTGTTATCGCCATGTCAGGAACCGGCAGTTCCATCTCGGGCGGACAGTCAGCAGGGTTGGTGGATTTTTCGCGCTTTTTCTCGTCGATTGCTCGCGTCGCGATCGCCCGCGTCGATCGGACGATCGGCTGATACGTCGCAGGATCGTCGCACGACAAGACATGCGGAAAGAGCGAAGGTCGAAGGGCGTTTGAAGATGCAGTTTCGATCGACCCCTACGAGCGGAACGAAAATCCAGTCGCGTCCTCGTCGCGTCGCTCCGCGTCGTCGTCATCGTGACGGGACGTCGTTACCGCTCGTCGTTGCCCCGCGAATCGGTCCCACGGGGCCCGTAAACGTCGAGGGATGCTCGCGGAGATGGTCCGGCTGTCCTACCAACACAGGGCGTTCTACTGCTACGTGATTCTGAGCGTGTGGATCTTCCTGCTGGTCGCTGGTAAACGCAACCTCGTGATCGTTGATTTTGTGTGCACTGCGGTGGACGCGGGTCTCTTCGATATCGTAATCGAAATCAAATCACATTCCTAGGAATCGATGTAATTTTCAACGAGTTCAATTGCCGTAAATTTGCGAGAATAATTACGTATATTTATTTGCGACATTGTAAATCAATAAGATATATTTCGTCGTGCCTAAAATTGAACTCGTCTCGATTCAACATAGATATCGGATATTAAACATCATCAAATATATTTGCGTCATTTTATAAAGCTTCTAAAGCGCTTTCGTAGATTTTTAGTTTCATATTTGATTGTCGGACGCTAAGAAGCTTAAATATTTAAACTCTTTTAGCACGATTTCAGCGAACTTTTTATCTTTAAATATAGGGTAACATGTAGATATTGTTGCAGTTATACACTTGAGCGCTTCTGTTCGTTATCACTTAAGTTTTAATAATAGAGCTATAATGCAGCAGAGAACTTCAGTTTTTCAATAATGGATTATATATAGCTGAATATTGTCACGTGTTTATCGAGACAATGCGACGATTCTATTTTCTTTTTATCATCAAGTAAAGGAAATGTGCAATCATAGTTGTTGACACAAATGTCAACTGACTGTAGGAAAAATAAATCTATTGAAATCAGTCCTGAAAGAATCTCTTTCTTCATGTTAATATCAGATCTTCCATTTAAAGGATAATCGGGAAGATGATTTTTAATACAAATTTATTAAAAGTTTAATTTTTTAAATATTTATTTAGTTTTTTTAATATTAATAATTTAGTTAGTTAGATTTTTAATATTAATAATTAATTTTTTAATTTTAACATTAATAATAATAATTTACACACACGCACGTATATAATTTCATATTTAATATTAATATATTTTATAATGTGTTTAACGTTAATATTAAACAATTAAATATTAATATATTTTATAATTAATTATAATGTGTTTAATATTAATATTAAACAATTTAATATATTTTATAATTTTGTAATGTGTTTTTTATACGTGATATACATAAATATACGATACGTGATATACATAAATATTCTATTATTGTATTCATTGAATACAAATACTAGATTATAAAAGTGTAATGATATAAATCTAAGATTATAAACAGATTTTTCATCGCGCAGGCATGTATAAATATATCGGCGTGGATGAGAAAACTTCGGTGCAAACGAGAATCTTAAATAACGATTTGTCGCTCCGAGAATTCCCGAGAAATTTAAAATCGGACGCGAAGACAAAGAAGATCTTTCGTTTTTGCAATTTACCGCACGAGATAGCTGCAGAGACCGAAGGTACGTTCTACACACCTTCTATTTTAGATCTTAGATTATTCTATTTTTGCATAAAACGTGACCAATAAATCAGAGTAAATATATTCCAGTTATTATATAAGATTAATAATTCATAAGGTCAATAAATTAATAAGATCAATAAAGTCGTATTAAAAAAGATCTGCGAATAAATTAAGAGAAATGGTTGAAGGTTGAAGTACATTCTCTTTGCGCGGTAAAATCGCAATAAATAAATAAAATCGATATCTTTTATTATCTCGAGTCGCGGAAAACTACTTTCAGCACGTAATTATACGAGCGAATGTGCATTAGAAATTTATTTCAAATAGGAAAACTCGACGGCAACTTGACGTTAGGCGGCATTCTGATTTTCATTCGTCACGGTGACAGAGGTCCTTTGACGCACATACGAAATATAAGCAGCATAAATTGCGGCGGCGAGACCGGCGCCGGTGGCGTAACGGAATTGGAAACGATTTACGAGAATTATGTAAATTTCGTGCAAAATGTGTCGAGCTATTCCAAGACCGCCTGGGCCCAATTCCTGGGGCCGTTTCACGGGCTGCCCGTGTTGCCGGCGAATGCACGCGACTGCAGGATCGGTCAGCTGACCACCCTTGGCATTCTGCAGTTGCTGAAGACCGGAATCCTGTTGAGAAACGCGTACTATCACAGGCTCAATCTCGGCAACGGCACCACCTTCGGCAGGGACGTCATCGTCTACAGCACTTCCTATCGTAGGACTGTGCAAAGCGCCGTCGCGTTGCTCTACGCGCTCTTCGAAAATGACGGTTTCCAGAATCTGGCGAGGATCAACCTGCAGGAAAGCCAGAGCTATGCGTTTTGCAACAATGAATGCGCCTGTCCTGCCGCTGAGAAATTTCTGAAGCAGCATTTAAAGGTAATTGCATGAAAATAAACATAAATAAATCACATTTAGAATCTAATTTTTCGATCTAATAAAAAAAGTACTTCATCTTGTGATTCTAGTTATTATTTTATATTATTTGTAAAATTACTGTAATTTTATATATTTTATAATAATTTATAAATTCATATTTTTAAATGCATGCTCTATAAATCCGTTTAAAAAATAAGATCATGTGACATTGTTTTTTTTCTGCAAGATTCGAATGAATAGAAATCTATGAATAATTATAATGAATTTAAAGAAATATTTATAGACTCTTACACATTTTATTGAAACTTGTGATTCTAGTTATTATTTTATATTATTTATAAAATTACTGTAATTTTATAAATTTCATAATAATAATAATTTATAAATTCAGGTTTCATATTTTTAAATGTATGCTTTATAAATTCGTTTAAAAAGTAAGATTGTGTAACATTCTTTTTTTTTCCAAAATTCAAATGAATAGAAATCTATGAATAATTATAAAGAATGTAAAGAAATATTTATAGACTCTTACACATTTTATTGAAACCTGTGATTCTAGTTATTATTTTATATTATTTGTAAAATTACTGTAATTTTATAAATTTCATAATAATAATAATTTATAAATTCACATTTTTAAATGCATGCTCTATAAATCCGTTTAAAAAGTAAGATTGTGTAACATTCTTTTTTTTCCTACAAGATTCGAATGAATAGAAATCTATGGAAATTTTATGAATAATTATAATGAATTTAAAGAAATATTTACAGACTCTTACACATTTTATTGAAACTTGTGATTCTAGTTATTATTTTATATTATTTATAAAATTACTGTAATTTTATCAATTTCATAATAATAATAATAATAATAATTTATAAATTCATATTTTTAAATGCATGCTCTATAAATCCGTTTAAAAAGTAAGATTGTGTAACATTCTTTTTTTTCTACAAGATTCGAATGAATAGAAATCTATGGAAATTTTATGAATAATTATAATGAATTTAAAGAAATATATACAGATTCTTACACATTTTATTGAAACTTTCTTTGCGCGTTTCACCTTTCTAGAAATAGATATAAATCTGATATTACGCTCTTCCTTTTCATTTTTAAAAAATAAAATCTTTAATAAGACATTAATAAAGTATTACACATCTGCACTATCTTATCGAAATAAGTTTTAATGACCTGAAGTCTCATTTTATGATCTATTTTCCTGTTTTCGAAAAAGTTAAATAATCTGCAATAATCGCACTCTTCTCCCACTTCCTCAGGAAATCCGATTAACTAGGTCATTCAAGGCTGCCAGATTGCTGATTCTTCAACGTTATCTGAATAAAAAATATTTGCACGCGATAATATTTTTTCCTACAGAAATAATCTTGCGTTAACGCGTTCGCTGTCCATGCACTGCGCGTGACATGTGGAAATATATCACATGTGATGCATGTGTGATGATGTCAATTTTTTCTAAATTAAAATTTCACGAGTGAAACCACATGGTTCGTTCCAACGTGTAGTGTTAAATATTAAATACTTTGATGATTGAGTTTCATGAAGCCTCGTGTGAAAAAAAAAAAGATCCTTCTAATATAATTTAAACGATCCTTTTAATATAATTTAAACGAATGCGACAAGAAGCAGAAAAATTCAGAATCTAATTAATTCTATTAAGAAAGCGGTGTTACCTTTTTTATATATTTAGAAAAATACTTTTGCTGAAAATTAATTGAGCGCTCTTGAGAAAATAATCCCGAAGATCTCCGGGATCGCGACGAGACAATATCGCGCGAGATTCTCCGCACGTTGCTCTACTTTCCCCAGGAGACTTCCAACCATCTAAGATCTCATCCGGCGGTCGGCGAGCTGATCAAACAGGCGGCAAGTGCCGTGTTCGAGCTTCCGGATCAAGCGCAGACCTGCGACCCGAATACGCTGAGGGACGCTTTATTAACGTACGTGTGCCACGGGGCCTCCCTGCCGTGCGCCGACCTCGCGGAGGACGCGTTAAAGACGACGACGCAGAGGACGTGCGTCAAGACCGACCACGTTACCGGGTTGTTCGCCTACACGGACTGGGAGTCCAAGCAGGTCGCCAAGAGCAGCAGCCGCAACAAGTACGGGCTCCTCAAGGCGTACGGGATGCTGCGTGGCATCGTCACCTTCATGCTCCGCATCATCTCCGAGGCCAGGCCCAAGATCGTCCTCTACTCCGGCCACGACAAGACTTTGGAGTACCTTGCCACCGCTCTTGGCGTGGTCTCCGACGTGGCGACTCATTACGCCTCGAGGCTCGTCATCGAGATCTACAAGATCAATCCGAGGAACGACAATCGTCTCGCCAGCGATTTTTACTTTCGCGTCGTCGCCAACGGTCGGGATCTCACGCCGAAGATCCCGTTCTGCCGAAACGCGAACACTTATGTCAGCGACGACGGGGATCAAGGAGCGGGCAAGAAGGGCGTCGTCAAGCTGTGTCCGATAGAGAACATCGTCCGACAATTGCACGATGATTATTTCGTGCCGTTCAACGCGACGAACTTTAAGGATGCTTGTTCGAGTCACAAGATTCGCTAAAATTAATTGAACGTGATGGTCGAACGAAAAGATCCTCCATAAAAGAGTAGGCGAGTTAAAAGGAATTGAGGGAAAATTATTTGATAAAAATTAAATAATAATACAAATTATCCTTAAAATTATAGTACTCTAAGATTTTTAACACTTTTATGGGTTCTCCATTTGGTCTCTCTTTTATTCTCAATATATGGGACTTTGTAGTTACTCTATTAGTAACCACTCAGACAGCACACATGTCCAAAAGACATCTAAAAGACACTTTAAAGACGTCTTAAAGTCCTCTAGATGTCTTTTAGTGCTGTCAAGTACCAAGTATATGTGAGAAATAAAAGAAAAGTCTATTTGATATATATCTCAATTTGTAAAATAAAAAATTTATGTCTTCTCTTGTAATCCAAATAGATTAGCATCTTGAAGAATAAAAATGAATGATAAAAATTAATCGATAGAAATAAAAAAAGAGAAGAATGAAGAAACATTGGAGATGTATAAAATGCCAGTCTCCCGTTATAGAGATTAGAAGTTTGACTTTACAAAGGGAATTCTTATCAATTCTTTTTAATTCATTTACTTCTTGCATGGAGATTAGATTGGGTCGAATGAGTTTTTGATTAGCGCTATGTGTCGTAGAACATAAGCCAACGTGAAAGTAATTACCAATATTAATATTCGAAAAAGTTTAAAGAGATAATCCTTAAATTTTTCCAGTAAATTCTCATATGTGCGATGAGATATAAGTCACACTTAGAATTCAGTCTTTCCACTTGACAAGAAAGTAATCCATCTTGATTCTATTGTGAAATAGTCGTATAGAAATACTCAAAGTTCAGTTTAAATTTCTTTTACATCTCTTGATACATCAACGCATATACATTTAAGAAAATTTCAGATTGTCAAAAATTATAAGAAAACCGAAAAAACAAAAGAGTACATAAATTGTCATCTTAGCAAGGAACAGGAGCCTTATCTTCATATAGATCATTCATCTAAAACTTTAAAGTATCTTTAGATAAATCAAAGAACGATAGCACTAATGAATCGATTAGTCGATTATCACATATATTTTATCATACTCTAATGTATATATGTATATATATATATATATATATTTAGCCCTAGAAATATATATGTATACTAAAAAACACAGTCGTATTTTTTCTTCAATTAATAATATGTAATAATATATTAAACATTTATGATAAAATGAATATAATATAAAAGATACAAGATTTGTTTTAAAGAAAATATTTATATGATAAAGATTTTTCTACGACTGTGTATTCATCTAATTAATGGTACTATTTTACGCCAAAAAATTTATACATTTTAACAAAAAAAAAACACAACTACATGTATATTAAAAGATCGATTTTTATTACAAGTTTCGGGAAAAGTATTACATGCAACTCGCGATATATAAAAGGCTTAGTACAATTTGTCGATAAATAAATAATGAATGCGCTTACAGCGTAGAAGGCACACACAGGTTTACATACTTATATATTACCTACAATATATTACATAATTTCATGGAATAATAATATCATAAATACAAGCACAATGTGTTCAGCTTAACATCAACTTTCGCAGAACACGCTTTTATTTATTAACAATCAATAAAAGCCTCTCATGTGTCTTACAATGCTAAGATCTACGCTATAACATGTCCTTCTTATTAATGATGTCTTATAATTCACATTTCATACAATTCATCAGGTGACATTTAGAAATTACGTCACTGTAATCAATACGTGAAAGATACCGCGAAAATAAAAAACCTCACATGAGATAGTAATGCGAGTGAAAAATATATAAAGCCGCAGTCTCTTTCTACATTACAAAGTCCATATAAATGCCCAGTTCCGATTATTTCCGGTCAAGCTGACGAAATTTACATTTCTCTCATCAGTTGAGTTTATGATCAATTATGATCAAGTTTATTATCAATTAATGCGATGTAAATCGTGCAGTCGAACGGAAATAGAAATCCCATGCAGATCGGCCATTGACGATTGCAATTTAGTACAAAATACAGGACGTGTTTAGCAAACAAAAGAAAAAAGTATTACAATAAATGATGAAATAGGAAAAAATCAGACTTAAAAAAAAAGTGAATATATATCAACCGTAAACAATGTCTGCATAAAAATTTAAATTCTCATTGATAAAAAAATTTCAAGATTTTTTTACTCTAGTAGAGAAACAGTTAACATTTAAATTCGCGAGTCAAAATTGACAAATTGACAAATTGATATTTAAATCTAGAGATTCAAAATTGATCAAGTCTAAGAAAATTTGAGTCCAAAATTAAGAAAAAAAAACTCGAAAATTAACAAATTGTGTGAACAAATTTTAAGAAACACGACCTATATGATGCAACATTGTTTTAAATGATTACATAATATTCTTAATGCTAACTATATCTAAATTTCTCCCTTCTCTTTCCTCTCTCCTACAAGTTTTAAAAATATGTTATTCTGAGATAATATGACTAGTTCCTGTCTCTGCCCAAGCTGCGTCAAGTATCCCCTGGAAATTTTTTACTTCTTGATAATACTGTTTGATGGTATTCAATCCGCTTAATTTACTGAAACATACAATATATATATATATATATAATGTGTATAAAATAATCGTTATAATAAAAAAAATACAAATTATACGCTTTAAATTTCTCAATAATCAAATGTGAGCCAAATGCTGTTATACAATGATAAATAGAAAAATATATAGAGATGGTAAGATTTTGAGTTCAATGATAAAATTGATAATTTGATTTCAACAAGATTGCGATATTTTTTTAAAGACAGAGTCATACAGAATACACAACAAATCTATCAGTTAGAGATGTTTCTTTGCTAGATAATTGTCTTGCCATTTTAGAAAGATTTTAGATGATCATCTCTGTAAATTTAATAGAAAAATATATAATACTTTTGTCACTTTTTACTTACTTTGTCGTCCTTTCTCTCACTGGTGGAGAATAATTCGACGCAATTTTTATGGTAGGCGGCGCATCAATTACTAATTGATCTACACTACCTATAATAGCATTAGCACCCACGCGTTTTCCTATTCGCCAACGTTGAGTCAACCATTTCATCCTGTATATACTGACTATTGTTAACACGGCGATCCTGAACCGCACTTTTTTCTTATGCGACAATCGCGTGTAAATGCGTTGAGATTGAGTCAATTGCGCGAGCACACTTAATGTGTTCTCCTCGCAATATTGGTAACTGCCAACGATGCACAGCAAATATTTCTTCTGGTATGCCAATGCCTTTCGTCTACTGTCTACTCGTAAGTATGAGCCGTAAAGTTTTTGCAACTGGACATATAAAAAATAAGATTATGTTATATTTATTGCTATTTATACTCTGAAATGTATAATTGATTAATCTCTGCGTATATAAATTGTTATAAAAAAATTTTTTAAAAAAATGTAAAAATAATGCGTCATTAATCAAATCAACTGTTATCTTTTAATCTTGCAAGACGGAAAAATTGAATTCACAATATATATTTTAATTATTATAATTTTAATTATTAAAAAAATATAAAATTGGGGATACCCTTTCAATAGGAACTGTTGTTGAATTGTTGGATGTAGGAGCCTGTGCGCTTTTCAGTTTCTTTATCTCTCCTTCGAGTACCTTCGCACGATTCATCAACATTTCCTTATCTACCATCATCTTGTCGAGTTCTTGTTCAAGATTGTTCTTCTCGACAGAGTATCTCTCGACTAATTCATTTAAGTCTTTAATCCTCTGTACAGAGCTTGCAGGTGTATCTGTGTTGAAATTCACCAGCTTCCTTATATTTTCTTCTTTTTCGGCAATGACTTTTAAGTTTGGTTGCAAATTCTCGATCCAATCCTTTAGGCTCTTTTCCTTCTCTTTTGCAATCATTAGTTTCGTATTAAAATCTGTTTCTCGTTCTTTCAAGGATTCCACCATATGTGTAAGCTTCAGCTCTCGATCTGCGGATTCCTTCAGTTTTTGTCTTGCAAGATTTATGTCAGCCTCTAGATTTATCTTAGTTTCACGAGCGATGCTAATTTCTCTGCGCAATATTTTGATTTCGTCCAGTTCAGTGTCTCGTTTGTTATTTTCAGCTTCTGTCATCATTTTTAGCTGCTTCTGCAGATAATCAAGCTCTTCTTCCCGTTCTTTCAATTCTTTCATAGTTCTATTCAGATTCGCTTCCATAATTTCCTTCATTCCATTAGCTAATGTTAGGCTGCTGATCAATTTTTCTTGTTCTTCTGTTGCGATTTCCAATCGCTTTTCATATGTACTCACCTCAGTTTCTAATCTCTTTATATTTTCCCGCAACTCTGTATTGTTATCACGACTTTCCTTGGGATCGCTTGTCCTTAAATAGAAGAAATAAAAGAAAAATATTAGTGTATCATACAATAGTATATTATATAACACAAAACGTCAAAGAACATTAGACATAAAAACAATAAATATACATAATACATAAAAACAATAAAAAAAAATTAAATAAGTTAAAAATTAACGTGTATACCTCTCTGGTTTATTCTGTGCAGCTGTAGCAAAGTTTGACAGATTAATGTTTTCAGTTTCTATCAATTTCTTCATGGACGTAAATTGTGATTCTAGATTAATCTGCTGTTGCCTCATCGATGCTAGATCATTACGAAGCTTTCCCTCGTTCTCCAGAGAGATTACCAGTTTTTTCTGCAAAAATTCGATTAAATTGGTATCTTGAACTCGTCCCATTTCTGTCTTTCGACGATGTTCTTCTATCTGCATCCTTAAGAACTTTATTGTGTTTCTCTCGGACATAAGTTCCTGATCTAGTCTGACTACTTTCTTTGTCTCTTCTGTTAAATCAGTCTTCAATTGCAGAATACGATTCTCATATTGGGCGATCCGATGTTTCATTATATCACAATCGATTTCAAGATCCTCTTTCAGTTTCTTCAGCTCCATATTGTCTAAATTGATCTCGTTCAACTTCTGCTGACATTCTTTCGTCGCTCCTTCTATCTCTTCGTTGCCATCGTTTTTAATGACCTGCATAATTTGCTTATCCAATCGCGCGGAGAGATTCAGTTCCCGTTGGACCATATCTTCAATATCGCTATCATCCTGCGAGCATTGTGCAGATGCATCTTTTAATTCTAACTCCTTCTGTAATTGTTGCACTATATTTTTCAAATCCTCGTTCACCTTGCGTTCATCCTTCAATTTTCTTCTTAGTTCCACAACATTACCAGATTCCTTCATCTTGTTCTGAATAGTTTCCAACGCTTGCTGCAAGCTCTTACTATCGTCGCTCATCTGCCTAATTACTTTGTCCTTTTCTTTCAAAAACTCCTGTAGATGATGGATTTCTTGGTCTTTATTACTTATAGAAGATGAGGGTGATGATGCACCTGAGTGAACGTCGCTTGTTCGTTTTGCTATCTCCTCTAATTTACGGATAACCTGATCTCGATTATTTAAACCGTCTGTCAATCGCAAGATCTCGTCTTGCAATTCGGCAATTTCTTGTTCATGCGCATGAAACTTTGTCTTGAACTCGTACAACTGTTTGTTCTCGTTCTCGATTTCAACATTGCGTGTTTGAAGAGTCTCCAATGCGATATCTTTCTCCAGAATAAGTTCCTTGAATCTTTGTAGTTCCTGTGTCTTATCTTGCAGTAACAAGTTATTTTTTACTTGATCCGTCTCTCTAATTGTTATCTCTTTCTTCAGCTTTGAGTTCTTCATATTCAATTCCGTGATGATCCTTTCATTTACTTGCATTTTGTTCTTGTGATCTTCGAGCTCATCTGTCTTCAATTTTAAAATATTCTCAACTTCTTCCAGATCTTTCTTTATTTTACTCTCTGACGCTTGACTCAATTCATATTGACTTTTATAAAAATTTTTATCTCGTACCAAGTTTTCAACAATTTCTTTATACTCATCCTCCATCTCTTGATACTGTTTCTGCATGGAATCCAACTCGATTTCATGTTTATTTAAAGCATCAGACTTCAGTTCCAGTTCCTGCTGCAGAATTTGCAGTTGACTTGACAAGTTCTCAATTTCTTTCATCTTTTCATTAAGTAATTCATCGGTTCGTCGAGAATCTTCGCTGATATCATTGTTCTTGGGAGATGACAATTTTGATTCGCCTTCGGTATGATGCAACTCAATTTCTGAGTGACGGACGTCACTGAAGCTATGTGTGCGTGAATCTAAATCCAACGGTGGAACTTGAGCATCTATTTTATCTACATTGAGTAACGATACCTCTGCAGTATCGAAAGTATTTACAGTTAATGTATTTTTCGATGTAGGAACTTTAATGTTGGAAATATTTTGCGATGTCATGTGCGTTGCACTAATAGCTCGAATAGCTTCAGGGAATTCCTCGCATTCTGAATGTATAGAAAGGATATCGCTCAATGTTCGCGCGCTGTTCTTGGCTTCTGCTTGTTTCGTCAAATCCCTCAGTTGCGTATCGTCCAAAGCAAGCGATGAATAGGCGTTTAATTGTTTCTCCTTTCTAGATAATTGCTCCTTTAAATGATCAATTTCTTCGTTCTTATCTGCCAACATGGTGTCAATCAATTGCGGCAGTTCTGATTGAGCATGTTCTTGGGTTCCAAGCTTTACTTGCAACATTTTCTTTTCCTCCTGAACGAGTTTTAATTGATCTTTCAGTTGATCAATCTTTCGTAATGCGCTATTTTCCGATTGTAAGAAGTTTTCCATTTCTGTTTCCTTCTCCGCCAGCATTTGATTGGTTCTTTCGAGTTGAGTTTTCAATTCTTTCAATTCTATTTCTTTGTTAGTAATAGTTTGCTCCAATGAGTGATACTTTGTAGTAGCTTCGTGCAATTGTAATTCTAAACGAGATGTTGCCTGTTTCTGAGCGAATGGAGCACTTTGCCTGTGTTGTTCTAAGCGACTGCGCATCGCTTCAATCTGGAATAATTGTTCGGATATTGTCTGATGTAAAATCTCCTGCTCCGCTAGTAATTCTTCATTCTGATTCTTCATCGCTGTCAATTGCATATCTAGATCTTTGATTCTTTTAAAAGCTACTTCCTCCGCGCGTGCATGCTTCAGCATTTTATCTTTCAACTTGAGTACTTGATCCAGAGGCAACATTGGCGGTGAGGACGGATCATCTGGTGTTAAACATCTCGTTGCGTCAATTTGTTCTCTAATCGAAACGTCTTCACTCGGCTGACTCAAGCTCAAATTGGAACTGCACATATGCGCGGATTCCAATTCTCGGATCCTTTTGTCTAATTGATTTTGCATCTCGTGAAGTTCTGCTTTTATCTGCTTCAGAACGGACGAATTGACATTAAAGTGTTCTGAGCTTAATTTGTGTTTATTCAATTCCTCCTAAAAATAGAGAAATAATAATAGAGAATATTATTATCCTAATAATAGAGAATATTATTTTTTGTATAATATTATTTTCTCTTTCCTTTCCTCTTTCTCTTTTTATATATATCTGTATAATTTATGTATTTATATGATATTTACCTCTAAAAGATTAATTTGTTCATTTAAATGTTTATTTTCAGTGCCAGATTTGATAGTGTCCAGCTCTTGAACTAAATCCTGCTGATTTTTTGTTTGTGCGGTTATCACGGCTTCCAATTGACTGATTTGTAACTGCAAAGATTCTTCCCTCTCAATTTTAACTTGTAACTGTTGTTCCAAGTCAGCAATAATCTCTCGTAAGACCCATATTTTATCCACTGCAGCTTTCAATTCACTCTCCTTTTCCGACTTCTTTGCCTCCGTGTCGGACATTAACGATGACATTTCTCTCACCTGAGATTCGAGAGCCTCCACCTATAAATTATAAATCATATGTATGTAGTATATACATATATATTAGCTAGTTATTAATACATCGTTTTTTTCAGGATGTCACCTATAATTCCAGTCAAGCATGACCCAACAAGTAAAGCATAGAGATATATATTATCTTTGGTTTTACAATAATTATATGCTAACATACAGTGGGTAAAAAGAAAACTATATATGCATAATTAATTATATAAAAACAATTATATAATTACTAAGTAAAAATTATATAAAAAAAGTTGTAAAAAATAAAAGTGAAATGTATATTTTTGTCAAGTAGTCTGAACTTTTTCATTATATCATTTTTAATATTTTCACTTATTATTTATCGAATGTGTTAGGCATTTAAATACATTAAGGTGTTTAATTTTTCTCAATATATTTTTGGAGTAAAGATAAATAAGTAAACTCTGTACAGTTATGCAATTTGCTAAATAATATGTAATTTTAGCAAACGTGTTAATCTTAGCCACTGTATGTTCATGAGGAAGCAAAAACTGTGTCAAAAATCAAATTAAATACAATATCACTCACAGTTGCATCGGGCGTGGCTTGAAGCTCAGGGATGCCTGAAGTTCTTTCAGATGATAGCTCAGACTGCTTTGTGCGACAAATAGAAAACCCAAACCAGAGTGCAGAAAAATTTGTGTTAATACAATTAGTAGTGATGCGTGACATTAATTGCCAGCGATACAATTAATTTTCAAAATAATAAATCCTCTCATTTGTAGTTAAATTTAAGTTCTGTATTACATTGTATTTTTAATAGAATTGTTTCTCTTGATTGCTATTTAAATCCCTTCTTTATTAATAAAATGTAAGTTTTATATAATATTTTATCTTTAATATGTTTTTAATAAAAAAAGATACATCATGTGATTACATCCAAAATTTATAAAAATAATTAATGCATTATTAGTACATAGAATTGTGTAAAAATATCAGTAAATTTGATTGCTGAACTATAATTATAATTTACATATATATTTGCAATCTATATATTATTATACAGGGTGTTCGGAAAATCGCCCGTAGTACTTTGGGAAGTGATTCGAGACTCAAAAAGAAGGAAAAGAAGTTATGTAAACATAGTTCGAAAATAAGTTGCGAGTTGTAGACACTTTTATGTTAAAAAAAATCGTAATTTATCCACTGGGCACCCCTCTTTAAATTTTTCTCAAATTAAAAATTTTTAAATTTAAAAAAGAGGGATGCCCAGTGGACTATAAATTACGATTTTTTTTAACATAAAAGTGGTTATAACTTGAAAACGACTTATTTTCGGATATGTTTATAACTTTTTTTCCTTCTTTCTGGAATCCCGAAATCCCGAATCACTTCCCGAAGTACTGCGAGTGATTTTCCGAACATCCTGTATATATTATTTAAATAGCAATATTATAATTTAAATAAAGGAATCTTCTCTCTCTATGTTAAATTTATAAACTTGACCTCATTTTCTATAAAGGCATATATTCTATTTTTAACAGCCTTAAATCTATGTTAAATTTTACATTAAAATAACCACAGAGACCTGTAGTTAAGTTTTAGAAATGGCAGTCGTTATGCCAGTTTTTTCTGGTTAGTGCAATAACTGCTAAAGTGAATTTAGAAATATTTGGATTAATTAATCCTTAAATTAGTAATAACCAAATCATTATATTATCATTTACTTAAAATCTCTTCAGATTTCAAAATGTTTGAATTATAATATCTAATTTTGAAATGCGAAGAATAATATCTCTCTCTTTAAAAATTTTCAAACGTCACAATATCGCAATCTTTAACTAATTAAGGATTAATTAAAAAGTCAGTAAACCTTAGCTAGCCAGCGAGTGATCACAAAAGCGTATGTTTTATGTTTGTACTTAACAAAAAAATCATCACATTTAAAGGATTAAATGATTTCAAGAAGAATTTTACCTCACAACTCATTCGTATATCTCTCTCCTTTTTACGCTCGCGTTCCTTGAGCTGTTCTTGCAAGAGTTGAATTTGCTTTGCGGCTTCATCACGCTCCATCTCCCGTTCGCTCGCTTGCTCGTCCAGAAATCGGCGCGTCGCTCGCAATTGCTTGTCCGCTGCCTCAATCTGTATAAAAGTAACTACAGTTAGAAATAATAAATAGTAATCGTAGAAATGTATAGTAATAAATTTTTATCGTAGATGTGTTTTCACTTTAATTATTTTTAGAACACACAACTCATAAATTCGCAAATTTAATTTTTTTAACAACATAAACAATAAAACAGATTGTTAAAAGACTCACAAATATCTAAAAAAATTTTTCGAAATTATACAAATTCTTATTAAATAAAAAAGTTAATAAATAAAGTATGTTAAAAAATTAGAAAAATAGGTTTTAAAAAAGAATTTTGAAAAATAAATTTTTTTCTATAATTTTTACAAATAATGTTAATTGGATTACAATTATTTGATAATAGTTTTTGTCATTGTTAGTTACAATGTGTTTCACTCACAAATAATAAAATAATTAATAGCAAGATATTAGGTAATAAAAGACTCATTCTATTGCATTATAATAAAATGTGCCTACAATATAGCATGCAAAGCGATTATTATATATTGCAACACCATGTGATAAATATTTAAGCAACAGTACATTTTAATAGCACTACCACAAACGTATATATAGTTACAAATGGGCGTTAGAAATGATATAAATGACACATTTAAAAAAAAATTTATTTACACTTTCTAATTTTATGATAGAGCGTTACACGTATATTAATTTATTATAGCCGATATGGGAGAGTAACTTACGCGAAGAGCGTTTAGATTAATATTAGTAATTCTATAATTTACCTTTTTGCAGCAAACCCTGTGAATGTATGGGGTAGGAGTGGGTTCTAAAGGTACCTGCTGGCAAGACAAGAACGCCAATCAATCTCTTAAAACCTACATTGCAGACCTTTACACTTTTAATTTGGAGAATTTTCTCTATTAACTCTATGTGATTAATAAAATATTTATTTATAGAATGATATATATATAATTGCCATACGTGCACACTATTTTAAATTATGGTTGTTTTATAAATTGATGAAATGATTAATGAAAAATACTGTCATTATTTTATATACAGGGTGTACGAGAAAAAATGAATATGTAAGTTTATTCTTGAAGTAAATTGCTGAAATATTCAAAATTTAGTTCAATAAAAATAAGAATTTCAAGGTCTGAACATCATAGAATGCAAGGAAAATAAAAACTTATATATTTAATAAAAGATTACATAGAGACTTAATGATTTGTGATTTCAACTAATAATATGCAAAAGCCAAAAATCTCAAAAGATTGAAGCACTAAAATATTCAGTTTTCATAAGACACTCTGTATAATGTGTGTAATAAAAAATCATTTTTAATTCCTTCTAATATTAACTTAAAAATAAAGAAAAAAAATTAAAATAATTACATACTTTTTCACAATTGCATTGTGTAAAAAACGTGCCATATAAGAGAAAAACATATCTGTGTTAATTGTATGTGTTGCTGTATAATAAAAACAGGTACGATATAAATATAATGTAAATATGAAGCATGTGATATAGAAGTGTTTAGAATTGTAATGAATTACAAAGACAAGTCATTTTTCAATGAACAGTACACCACAATACTCATAACTGTATTGACATACCAATATCGAATAATCAGAAATCATGCAACAATGCATTTTGAAAAATAATAAAAATGAATAATTTTACCTGTTGTTGCAAATCTTCCCTTTCCCTTCTAGCGTCGTCCAATAGTTTGTCATTTTGCCTGCACAACTCTTCTATTAATTGTAATAAATAAGATGTGTCACCTCCGCCATTCGATAACACATGTCTAGCTGCAATTATATATAAAAATATATCGCTTAAACAAAATATTTAAAACATAAAAAATAAGTGTGCTAATAATATAAATATATTTGAAATAAATAAATTACTTAATTAATATAACTTATAAGTTTGATATCAAATGAAATATCCATTTCTTGTAAAACATTAGAATTATAATTGATAATAAAAATTATATAATTATATATATCAATTGATCTTATATGTTTAACAAATAAGCTACTAATTTACAAAAGTTACATAGAAATTTACCTTTTTCTAGCACTTGTGAAAAGTCTTGCAATGCAATATCAACTCCAGAGAGATAGCTTTCGCCGTATCCTTCTGTGATTACTTCTTTTTTGTTCTCCGCACTAATTAACTTTTGTTGTAATTCTAAAATATGCAATTTTAATCGTTCTGCTTCTTCTTGGTAACTTATTATCAAAGCTTCAGCATGATTCAATTTTAAAGAAAGTTCTTCATTAAGATTGTTTGCTAAGAGAGTCTCTTTTGACGACAATCCAATATTGTCTTCGCCGCTTGGTAGTGAAAGGTTGAGTATTTGTGTGCTATCCGATTTCAGACGTCTTAAACAAGCTTTTAGTTCCTTTCTTAATATCTCATCCATGTCTTCCTCAACCATTGTCTTGTTATCGCTGTTAACAATGGAATTTATTTTGCTGGATTGGGGAGCAAAATGGACTCTTTTAATGTTGGTTTGATTGAATCTTTGGTCTTTGCATTGTGTTTCGGATGTAATACTGTCGTCTTTGCTTAAATTTCCCTCATGAGTAAAGACAGATTCTGTTAATTGTCTTTTCAGAACTTCATTGATCAGAGTATTGTTGACTTCTTCTTCACAGATGGCAAAGTAATTAACTAATTCTCCAATCAAATTCTTGAGAGTCACACATGTTTTCTTTAAATTATCCCTAATAAAAATTTTACATTACATATTTAAACATGTTAAAATGTTTGTACAGTTAAATTTTTCATATCTATTGTGACCTCTAGAAATACGAGACTCAAATTACTTTAATTCTCAATTCACAAATCAATTTGAAGATTAAAAATCTTTCAAAAATATATTAAATATTTTCTATGATTCTATATTAAAATTATATTAAAATTATATAAGATAATATTTCATCAATTACCTTTCTTCCATAATATTATTTTCCAGAGATTCAACACAGCCAACTTCTTGATTATTACTTGAATTTTGAGTTTTAAGATTGGCGATTTCTTTTTGGTATTGCTCGCACATTCGTGCTACACTGCAAGCGTGTTCATCTCTCAGACGAATTAATTCAGCATTATGCATCTTTTTTATTTCCTCAATTTCTTTCTTAGCGTTGCATGTGAATTTATCTCGCAGTTCTAACAATTCGGTCGGCCAATTATCTTCTTTATCTGCTTCCACTGATAATAATGCCTGTACACAATCATAATTGCAACTTTCAATAAACATCTCCTAAATAGGTCTCTTAATAAGTCATCGAACAAATACATGAAGGCAAATCCTATAAGCAGAAGCTTATATGGCAACATACAAAGTAACACACAGAAATTATAAACTTTTGATTTAAAAAATTTGCAGCTAATTTTCATTTCGCTTATATCTCATTCTCAATCTGTCCAGTTTCATACGATCCACATCTACCTGAAATTGTTCTTGAAGAGCGTTGACAATGTCCTGTCTAGCTAGCGCGATCTGTTCTTCCAACTGATGATTATAAGCGTCACGCAGACTCGATAATTCATCATTTTCCAATGTCTCCCATTCTGTCTGACAATACTGCATGCAAACATGAAGTCGCATAGCGGCATGTTAGTCACAAATAAATTTGTATTTTGATATAAATTCATAGTGGAAAAAGATAATTTATTTTTCATTTGTACATTTTAAAAGGAAAAAATGCATTAATTACAATAAAAGAGATTGAAAAACAAGAAATTAAAGAAATTTCAAGATGAAAAATGTACTAATAATAATTAGTGCACGCTGATCATGCCATGCATCTACATTTTAACACATTTCCTGAATTTTATAATAAAAATTTTGCCATAACTTCTATAATAAATATAAATAAATAAATAAATAAGTTCTTCCTAATTATATATATATATATATATATATATATATATATATATATAAAATTTTATTTTTAATAGATAAAATATAATAAATTTTAATTGAAATCTTTCAATTAATTGTTGATATATATTTGATGAAGAAATAAGATTTATATAATATATAATATATATTTTAACAAGCTGAACTATTAGAATTCTATTTCATGAATTTATAGAGTTTTTGGAGAATTGTATGTAGAATATAAAAAAAACATTGTAGTTTAATTAAAATTCACATATATGAGAATTATATTCCATTTTCAAAAATATATATTGATACATTCAAAGTATGAACTGTTTTATAATAGAATGTTTGAATATTATTATTGTAAGCAAACGATCTTTACATACAACACACATGGCACAAAAAAAATTGCTATTATCAACAAATGTATCATTAATAAAGCAAAATCTCATAATAATTAGAAAATTTTTTCTCACCTGGTGCACGATAGATACTGCCAAGGAACGTTCTAGCTTTGCTTCAAGATCGCGAATTTGAAATTCGTACAATTCTTTTTGATCTTTGATTGCTTTCTCATAATCAGCCTTGATAATTTGAATTTTCTTTACTTTATGCTCCAATTCTTGTCGCAATGCTTGGATGCTATTTTCATATTCTGTTTCAAGACGCGCTTGGTTTTCAGCATCTAGGATCTTATCCTTCAAAGATTCCTCGTTGGCGTCAGACGTTACTGCACGAGAATTGGATGCGTTTAAACAATCGCCTGCACCACCATAATATAGATCATCCGTTAGCTCTTCAGTTTCACTATCATCAGAAATTCGTTTTGATTGCTGGCTGAAGATCTCTTCGGAATATTGTTTCTCCATCTGCAAGCATTTTTGTTCGAAGTATGTCCGAAGTTCCTCCATCTCCTTAGCATGGCGTGCATTAAGTTCAGCTTTTATATCATTAATGTCATTCCCATCCTTGAGACGAAAAAAAATACAATTAAAAAAGGAATAGTTGTAAAAACTATATAATAGCAAAAATACGGACATTACAAGAAATTCGTCAAATATAAACAAGAAAAATATTAAAGATGAAAAGACTTGCCTGAAATGACTTGAAATTCTGCACCAACAACTGCAATCTGTTGATCTCTTTGGCAGAATCCGCTTTAACAGATTCTAATTCTTCTTTATATCGGTTCATCATGTCCTGGATTTCTTGACTTAGCATTTCCTTCTCCATTTGTAAAGCGGCGTTTTCCGTCGAGGGCTGTGCTTTTTCCGCGGCTGTGATCATTTTCTCGCATAATGTATAATAACGAGATAATTTAAACTTAATCTCATCTATGCTTAATTCGCCTTCCAGAATTTGTTGTACTTCTTTTTCGCTGTTTTTCACGTTAATATTATCCATTAATGTGCTGGTATTAGTAATGTTCGATTCTGGAGTTTTTGTCTCATCTATTACATTTTGATTTGATGTACTATCATCTAAACTTTGATTTGTCTTAAAGTTCTTGGAGGCCGTACTATTCAAGGACATGTTGAGTTTACTGCTATCACTCATTGCAGTTTGATTCAATTTTTCTTCAAACTCGGCACATTGAGCCCATGCATGGACTAAGCCCTCTCTTAATTGCTCGCATTGTGCTTCCAGTTTTTCCGCTCTCTCTGTTGTTTCAGTAAAATTTTTTTTATATTTCTCATTTTCTGTTTCTTTCTGCTCCATAAGTAGTTTTAGGCTCTCGATTTCTTGCTGCTGAACCTCTACACGTCGCACCAAATCATCATTCGTCAGAATATCGTTTTCAAAATATTCCTGAACAGAATCATCATGAGATGTCACACGATTGATCTCTTTCAAGGAATTAACTTCCCGTTGCAGCTTGTCACATGTATTTTTCATATCTTTTAGTTGTTTTTCGTAGGTCTTCTTCTCGAGATCGGTCTGTTTTAGCTTGTCATTCGCTTTGTGCAAATCTTCTTCGAGAATATGAATTTTTTCGACCAATTTCGCTTCCATCTCCATTTTATCCTCAAACTTTCGTTTTATCATTTGATGCTGAAGAACCTCATCATCAAAAGTTTTGTACATGGTTTCACCTAGTTCGCTAACTGTGCTGACGCTTGTAGCGTCAAACCGCGATAAAGATCTCTCCAGTTCATATATCCTACCACTCAAATTTCTTTCATGCATCTGACTGTTCTCGATCATTGACTGCGCCGCGGAATATCTGCATGACAAATCATCCAGCTTGTATTTCAGCGAGTCATTCTCCTCCTTTAGCGTAGCGGCGTTTGATAAAGCCTGTTCTAGCGATCGCTCAATACTTTCCTTGGATTCTAGAATGCTCAGTGTTGCAATGTGCTTCGACGTAATTTCCTCCAGTTGAATTTTGTGTAGTTTAATTTGCTCGTTTAACAAATCTTTTTCTTTTTGAAACTGTAAACTTTGCATGCGTCGTTCGTTCTCTGCTTCTAATCTCAATTCATCTAGCTTTGATTTATACAACTGGGCTTCTGATTGAGCAATTTTTTGTGATTCGGAGTGATTCACCAATTCGAGCTTTAACGCTTCGACAGTTTTCTTATAATGGGCCAGCTGCGTTTGGAAGACGGATAATTCCTTGGCGTGCCTGCTTTCCAAGTTCAGCAATTCTTTGTTTAAACGATCAGTTACTATTTTATTTTCATCCTTCAATACTTTGATGTTTTCTTCATATTTGGCTTTTGTATTAACAATTTCAGCTTCATTTTTTAGAGTTAATTCCTATATAAATATATTTAAATGAAAATGTCACAATGTTATTTATGTAATTAAAATATTTAAACAAAGTTATATATATAAAAAAAATATAATAAAGTGCCTACTTTTAACTCTTGCTGGTGGCGCGTTGCATTGGCATTTGTTACAGTGGTAAATTTGTTCAAAATATGCTGCATATCCTGTTTGATTTTGTCAATACGTGCTTCATATTGTTTCTGTTGTGCCAAGGTCTCATCAATGTTTAAATTTTTCTCTGTGGCACTCAGACGAACTTGTTCAGTTAGATTATTTATCTGTATTTTGTAATCATTGATTTCGGCATTTCGCGTTTCTCTTTCCATTTCCAACGTTTGTACATGTTTACGAATGTCTGTCAAATGCGCGTTCAATCGACAAATTAACGTTTCTTTATCGTCCATTGTTGTTTCCAGCGCTTCAATCTAAAACATTTATAATTATGCATCATTTTATAAAATTATCATCATATATTAGTAATTATAAAATGCAGCATGAATTGTATGGCATTTACCTTTTGCTGCAAGTTCATGTTAGGATTGTCTAACTGCAGGGTGTTTAAGGCATTAAGTTGTCCTGTGAGAGCACTTCTGGCAGATAACGCTTGTTCTAAAGATACTGTTAACTGTTCTATTAAAGTATCACGTTCACATAGTGCATTTTCAAACTCTTGCAACTGTTTGACAAAAAAAATATTATACAGTGGCAATTATTTTCTAACAAGATATATTTATATATGTAAGTCATTTATAAAAATGACTTACTTTTATATGATACAAAGGTATAATATCTTTTCCATGTACACTGCTGCTCTGGCTTTGTGATGAATTTGGAGAGGATGTTTCAGCTCGTAGATGATCAATTTCCGCATTTAAAGCTCCAACTATAGCTTCTTTCCCTTGCAACAGTTCTTCCAATTCTGCAACACGACCTGCTAATCCTTCCAAATCAGCATCTGGTTCTCCCTCGCTTATACTAACACTGCTGTGTGTTATATCCCTCGAGGATATATCTTCATTTACCTTAACATAAGAAGAAAAATACATATTAGCATCGAACAAGCAATACTAATTATGCAAAAATATATAAATCAAATTCTCAATGTTAAAAACTCGCTAGTAAATTAATTCAAGGTATAAATAATAATATGTAGAAACGACTCAACTAGCGCAAATTAATTCTTTATTATTCAAACATATAACGTTTCGACCATTTGATTGTGGTTCTTTTCAAGTATAAATTTCAATAAAGATGGTCAATATTGTAGATAAAGAATGCAAGAAACATGTCAAAATTATTAGTTAAATTTGAAAGAGAGATACGAGAGAGAACTGAAAACATTGTACCAGAGTCAAAATATAATGTAACAAATTTTGACTCTGATACAATGTTTTCAGTTCTCTCTCGTTTCTCTCTTTCAAATTTAACTAATAATTTTGACATGTTGCTAGTTTCTTGCATTCTTTATGTACAATACTGATCATCTTTATTGAAATTTATACTTGAAAAGGACCACAACCAAATGGTCGAAACGTCGTATGTTTAAATAATCAAAAATATATATTTATGCAAAACTATTGTTTCTTATTCTTACTCCAGATTCTTTAACCAATGTAGATTTTTCGTTGTGTAATAATTCGTCGTCAGATTGTTCCATGCATTGTGTATTTGTACTTGTGTCTTTAGATCGCCTTGCCTTGTATTTTTCCAACTGTAACAAAATCGACATTATTATTAAACGTATCAAATATTAATAAATATTAATAATATATTTTTATAAGAATATTTCTTCAAGATATAGTTGATGAAACAGACAGCAAATTAACAATAAAATTAATAATGTAAGTAAACGATGGGAGAAACGAAGAAACGAGATATTGGAGTAAACAAGAAGAATTGAAGTAAACAACAAGACTGTAAAAAGGAGTGAACATCTCGATAACTAGAGGAGGAATAGAGGAGGCTTGCCATTTCTCTGCCGGCTTCCAGCGAGCGTTTTTTACGCTCGTTTTTATCTTGTACTGTGCTCATTCCGATAAATTTCGAAACGTCTCGACCCGCATAAAGGACGTTTGAACACAAAGAATGTACTCGTTCACCTGCCCATTCACTTCATCGTACGCTACATTTCAAATTTTACGCCTCGACGTCAGCTGATATACAGCTTAGTTAATCACCACGCGATCTTAACTCGTCGCAATCACGTTGCTTATCGTACGGTAAAATAATAAAAATACTGAAAAACACAAATTTCGAAAGCGGTTAATTAATAAAACGCTCAACGAAAGCGGTTGGAAACGGTTGGTCATTGGTCTAAAACGGTCGCGCGTTAGAATGCGTTCAAAAATCCTATCCGTGGAAGCGGAGCAGCATTTTTAATTGACCACTCAGGTCAAAAGGAGCAAAGAATTCTTTATTCTGATTGGTCAAGAAAGTCCTACTCTATCCCACGAGTAGGATTTTCGAACGCATTCTTAATCGTGCCAATATGACGAATGAAAACTCGAAAATTCAATTAATGTTGCCAGCTTGAGTCGATAACGTCATGTTGAAGCTCTCGTTCTTGTGCACGATTTTCGTCAGAGATACTAGAAAAAATTGTAAGTACAATAGACTTTCTTTCGTTGATGATAAAATATTAATTTATTAAGAATGTAAAATGTTTGTTTTATCTTTATATTGTATAAAAATGTATAAATATAGTATATATATATATTTCTTACACATGCGCGAAATATCTCGTTTTATCTTCTAATGTTACACGTACTTTTTTTAATTTCCATTTCGAAATATCTTTTATTTTATTCTATAATAATTATATTTAATGTATAAAGAGAAACAAGTTTCTTGCAAATAAATTGTTGTAATACATTTGCATTACATTATAAATTTTTTACATTTGCGCGCGCAATTTTTTTATTTAAATTTTTATATAATTAATCAAAATTATATATTTTTTTCACGTATAAATTCTTTATCAAAATATAACAATCGAAAAGCAAAGGTGTTAGATTACTTTTCAATTTTTAATATACATCTTGTTTTTTCTTAATTCTAATGTATTTTATTTTAAAATGTACAAGTGACATATATAAAAAATTTCTTATTAATTTCTGATCTACGAGTATTATATTTGTCAATTTACAATTTAATTAATTTGATTTTATATATTATCGAGATTTTTATTATCGAGCAAATTTTTTATTCGTTGAATTTCGTTTATCAATCCACAAATATGCAGGACATGTTTGTAAAGTCGATTTTCTCTTTGCAATATGATATATTTTATAACTGTACGCACACTTACTAAACTAGCAGTATAAAGGAGATTTAAAATATTTGTATATTTTCATAATATTTTCCTTTTCTATTTATACATCAGACTATTTTCATATCGACGTTTCGTTATATTTGACGTTACGTTTGAGCTTGACTCCAAATAATTTCTTTTCGTACACACACACACATACACACATTCATGCTTTCCGTTATAAAATATTTGCTCGTCAGATTTATTCCGATTTGTCATCATTGGCGGAACACGTGAAGATCCGGATAATAAATTTATTAAACTACATCGTCCTTTCCCATACTCGTGTACTGTTTACGCGCATTTCACGCGTGCGCTCCTACGCATCGTTCCTTCGTGTCTTAATCCGATCGTTCCGGTCTATCAAGAATCGAGCGCGGCGAATGAGAGATAATGCGAAATTCACGAAGCGTAAAGGTATATAGTTCAATTCGCCTCTATTCTATTTCGACGGAACTTCCTGCTTTACAGACACGCAGCTATAGCGGACTCATATAACGGCGGCTCCTCTAGAAGCGTTCTTGCTATACTGGGTGGGAGCGCTTAACGATGCGAGCACTCGCAATGTGATGTCACGCACATGTGCGTCCGATACAAAATTGAGCTTCGTATTTGTTCGTCATGTAGTGAATTTGTTGCTCGTTACGCGATCTTTCAAGGGAGGCTTGAAAATTGCGAAAAGATTTCGCGATTATTATCCCATTTCTTGTCAAAGCAGACGCGGATATTCTTCTTTTAAAAATGTATTTAGTTTTAACATGGAAATCTTGAAATGAGATTATATTAATTAAAGAAAAATTAAATTTATTTTTAATTTTTTATAATAAAATGAGATTATATTAATTAAAGAAAAATTTAATTTAATTGAAGAAAAATATAATTGAATGGAGCCATTTTATATAGTTCAATCAAGGAAAATATATTCTTGTGATTTAAGATTTCATTTTCTTGAATGAAAAAGAAACAATGTTAGATAGAAAATAACATTTTTAAATCAAAGATTATAATTTTCTTAACGTAGAATTAAATAATTATATATTCTTGAGGTAATAATTACAATATTAAAATAAGATTATAATATTGTTGGAATTTAATTATTAAATTTATTTAATTATTAAATTCTCCTAAGAAGATTATAAATTATTGCGTATATATGAAACAATGAACGCGGTAGTTTAAGTATATAAGTTTTAATTTAGTTTTAACATGAAAATCTTGAAATGAGATTATATTAATTAAGGAAAAATTAAATTTATTTTAAATTTTTTATAATGAAATGAGATTATATTAAAGAAAAATTAAATTTAATTAAAGAAAAATATAATTGCTTGAATGAAGCTAGTTTATATAATAAATTTGAATCAAGAAAAATATATTCTTATGATTTAATTTTCTTGAATGGAAAGAAACAATGTTGGATAAAAAATAACATTTTTAAATCAAAGATTATAATTTTCTTAAAGTAGAATTAAATAATTATATATTCTTGAGGTAATAATTACAATATTAAAATAAGACTAGAATATTGTTAAAATTTAAAATTATTATATTCTTCTAAGAAGATTATAAATTGTTGCGTATATACGAAACAATGAACGCGTTAGTTTAAGTATATAAGTTTTGATTTGATGCTTTTTTTTTTGTGTGATAAGTCAAAGTATTGTATTATCGCTTTATGACTAATGTAACAATTTTACAATTATATCTATAATTAATATCGTCAATTCAAGTACAATTAATAATCCAAAGAGACATGACATTGAGAAAATAGTTGATAAATTAGTTACACGCTCGATCGAAATTAACTTAATCGAATTATCGAATTGTTGTAGTCAATTTGTAAGGTGTCAAGGAACATCGTTATCACGCTGTTGCGATGTCAAACATGGAAGATGTCAAAGCTATTTAGAAACGTTTGGTCGATCTTTCAATTCACTATTTTCCGGTTCATTAAAGATTCAGATGCGATCGTTGCAAGATGAATCGATAGACTACTGTCGATAGAAGATTGTACGGTGATCATAGACGAGGACAGAGAGAGAATCGAATGATTGAATATTTATATAAATATTCCATGTGTTGTCGCGTGCACTTCCGTGAGGGATGGGATTAATGAATCTCTCTAATGATCCAATCAACTTGTAAACATGCCGTGTCATTCGAAAAGCGGAATGCGCTTCGTAAACTTACGATTAATGAAAATGACTCATCATACGTGTACGGTGGTCGATGACTGCTGGGTGTTTTGCAAACTGTCATTGTGTATGTAATCGTTATTGTATTAACCCCGTAGGACATCTTGCACAATCCGAGAATAAATCCAATAAGAAGGATTTTAAATAATAATTCAGCAAATACAAATTAAACCTAATGCGATGATCGTTTTTGCTACAATCATCAGCAGAGATTCAAGAAATCTGATTTGTGTCTGTTTTCAATTGTACTTATCTCGATGTTTTAATATTTTGTTCTTTTTTTTGAAGTTGAATATAATCGTAAAATTATGCAACTTTGCATAACTGAATATATAATATGATTTGAGGAAATTTCTTCAGTTAAATTTGTTTGTCAGTATCCTTTTTAATTCTTTGTACAATTCTTCCAGTTTTACATGAAATATGAATATGATGCGATTAAAATCGATTGACCAATTCTATAGGATGTCAGCAAAGACACAGAAGGCACGTAAGTATCACTTGTTTTTGTGAAATTTGAAGTTAATTTAAAATATACTTTACTAGAATCTTAACTTGAGACTTAATTGTCAAAATTACCGGATGCAGGAATTGGAAAATAAGTGAAGAATGACGATCTTCCTTTCGACAATTTGCTGAAGAAAAATAAACTCCAAATACGCGAGGATATTCTGATCTTGGGCATGAACTTTAAAGAATCGCATTCGCTCGTTCAATCATCATCTGCGAAATCTGACGTCCGGATCGCTCCATCTGTTACTCCGAAACGTACCCTGGGTGCATGATGTATCTCAAAAGCGGAATTCCGGCAATGCTCGGGTACAACCGGAAAAAGAGCCGGAGGGAGGAGATTCGACCGGCCTGTCGAAGATTGTCGAGGTCAGGTCAGGAGCGGCTCTCGCGGCGGGTTGCGAGCAATGTGTTACCATCAGGCCGACGTACAAAGTGGTCTGGAGAGGAGGGAGTCGCTTGAAGTCCCGTCGGTCGAAAAGCTCCTCGGCTTTGCCGCGTTCGACTCATCGAATCGGTTCACCCGGTCTGGGGCTCCACGCTCGCTCCGTCCGTCCGCCTTCCCGTGGCTGCCGGTTCTGGGTTCTGGTCCCTCTCAGTCGCGGCGGTGGCATCCTGCTGCTCGCAACACAAGCCTCGGCCCGATTTTAAAAGCGGTCGCCGCCACCGCCGCTCGCTTCCGCGCCGGTTTTTAATCGGATCGCGTATTTCCAGAGTGGGCGAGGGTATTTTTCGACCCACCACATCTCCGTAAGTTTCTTCAGATTGATTGAATCTACTCCAATATTGCGATCGCGTCGCATTTGTCAAGCCACGCAGGCTTCTGGAAATTTAATAATTAGGAGAAACAATGCGATGATATTATACGATGCACAGTTATTGTTTTTTTTGTAACATGTGAATAAAATGTGTTTCTTTTAGTGGCTTTTAATTTATTGGAAATTTTCATCATGCGCGGATTTTGATATAGAAAATTATTTTTCTAAAAATTATTTTTCTATTTTTCTTTATTTTTTTAAAATGAGAAAGTTGTTCTTTTTTTTTGTAAGATGGTGCAACATTTTCTTGTCTTTTCTCTTACATAATTAAAAGTTTCTTTTTCTTTTTCTTTAAATGTTTATTTACATTTTAAAGTCGCGTCGATTAAAATTAAATTATCGAATTATAAAAAAAAAAATAATCGACAGTAAATCGATTATTTAGAGGAGCTGTCGAAACTCGCGCTTACAAAGTGTCGTCTGTGAATGAATTCATGGATTCGATTTTGTGATTCGTGATGGTTTATGCTTGCTGGAGCAGACTATAATGCGCGCGCGACATTTTTTCGTCGTGAAAGCACCACGTGCGTGGACGGAAACAGTGTGGGTGGGTGGATTTAAAAAAAACATTTGTTCTAAAAAGTAAGTTTCTACAGAGAAAGATTTATTTTTGCCTCTACATATTTCACGAAAACGCGGAGATGACGTAACGAAAGAAAATATATGAACTTATTATACTCTTTTAAGAAAATTGAATTTACATAGTCGATGTATATTTGGTTTTCAATTACTTTTATAATACCAATTCTTTGTAATATAACGATTTTTCCGTTTTTATTGCTGTTAATCTATTACATTCATTTAATCGATGAATTGAATAATATATCAGATGCAGTAAATCAGAATTAATGTACCTTTTCAAGATGTAATTCTAATATTGAATTTTTTTCCAATTTTTATATACTTTCTCATTTATTATTTTTTATATAGTTTCTTAACAGGAAGAAGAAATCCAAAAATATTTATTTAATTGTGGTTGTAAATTAAAAATTTTGGAGAAAACTTTGGAGATCAGTTTTTGCATCATTTTTCGTTATTATTGAATAAATTGTTCATAAAAGTAAGATGATTTATGAATATTATTATATATATGTGATACTAAAAATATTAAATATTATTAAACTTTATATTCAATTATTGTACGATTTTTTCAATGACTGCAAGATAATATTCCATTTGCTTAAAATATCCTTCACTTAAAAATTGGAGTAGAATTAAAATTACATAAGAGAGATTACATAAAATTTCAAGTTCGAGTTAAACTCACGTATCGCACAACTCAAGTCACCGGTGGAAATATGTTCCCGATAAAACCCGGCGTCTCGAACGAGTTATTCGAGAGAACCCACTTAAACTTACACGCGTAAGATAAGATTAAATTCGGTGAGAGTATTCGGGATATTCCCACGAGGATCTGGTAGAGCATAAGAAATAAAGTTATTTGACGAATGGCGAGAGGAGAGAGATATCGTCCGTCGTGTCTCGAGCCGCGAAAGAGTCGATGACTTTCAGCTCATCAAGATCGAATCTTTCCCCTCTTCGATTCCGTGCCATGACCGCGACAATCTGGTCGTAGCCGTCATCTGCGGTCGACCGACGAACAATTCTCGCCGTCTGTGGGAACAATTAGCGAAGAAGGCTCTTCTCTTCTCTCGAACGACTGCGGCTCGAGCTGAAGGGCGTGTAATCATCACCGTCGTTAATGTAAACCGACGATTTCCGCGGCTGACTAACCGCGATGCGTCTCCAGACACTCGGTCGTTTTGTTATAAGACGCTACCAACCGTATTCGCGAGAGCTCCACATGCGTGGAACATAATCTTCCAGTAATATCACTTGACGTGCGGATTACGAACTCTTATGGATTTTTAGAAATTTTCACAAGAAGGATGATGAAAGGCAAAATTTTTTTCAAAGCCTACAGTTATTTTTTTTATGAGATATATGTATTTAAAATTAATACGATTGGAAATTTGACAGACGATGTTAATTTTATTTAATTTTTTGAAATTAATTAATATCAAGATTTTTATAAGTATTTAGATGAGTTTATAATTATATGTATATATAAAAGTAGAGCTCTAAGATATATAAATAAGAAGATTTGATATAAGGAAAGATTAATTTGTACTGTAGACTGAAAAAAAAAAATTTATTTCATCACTTTTACCAAGCAATCGACATCTATGAAAGTTGCCAATGTATCTATGATATATGACATATGATGTATGATGACCCATCTTTACATAATCACAAAAGAAATAGACGCAACTTAACAAACAGACTCACTTGAAAGAAGTTTTCACGAATACAAAGTACACAAGGATTATTCATGAGAATTACTCAATTGTTAATGGAAAATAAATTTTGATTTTTTTCTCTCATGCTTAAGATTATAATATTTTAATATAAAATATTAATTTTCTTGCAATGAAATATTAAAGTGAATTTAATTCGATCAATGTGAATTTCGGAGCAATTCTCGATCAACGGTTTCAGCGATTTCGCTTTATCCTTTCTTTATCCGCTTTCTCGTCTCTATCTCTCATCGTGGCATTTAGTATGTTTGCCATTTCCATTTTAAAGGTCCACCTTGACCTAAAATGCATACGATATACCCTCGCTTCCTCGTTTTGTAATCAGCTAGACGCCGCGCGTTCCGAACGCACGATCTAGCGGCGCTCTTCGGCTCTGACTTTTGGCTTAAACCGGTTCTCCCGCCTTTCTTACGTTCTTCTACTCGAGTTCGTTCGCGCACGTCATTCCGGAACGTATCCTTTAACGGGAAGAACACCGGGATTGTCGTCGATTTGAGGAGTCGAGCGTGTAAATCGCGATTACCGCGTCCGCGGCTACTCCGCAGCTTCTCTTCGGCGTCGACTTGAGGAGTCGACAGAGCGCGATTTTTGATCATAACGGTTCTTGCATCTGACCGATTGTTGTTTTTCTCCTTCTAATATACCGGAAGAAGCGCAGAAAGGGTAACGAGTTGTTGCAATTGATATTCTACATTTCTTCTTCCATAAATTACTTATCGATTATTTCTACCTTTGTGTATCACCTGGTGATTTTACGCGCGCAAGATTGTCGATGATATTTCTGTGCAAATTTTTTATTTTTTCTCTTGTGAAAAATATGTGATTTGTGCGATTATTATAATTTTTATAATCATAATTTTAATTATAATTTTTTATATTTATTATGACGTTATAAGACATATGAATGTGAGGATAGAGTATGAAATCTATTTTATTCTGAGCGAAATAATAATATATAATAATGTTAATGAGAAAAAAATATTTTGCGTACTTGTTTAATGAGAAATAATTGGAATATGACTTTAAATATACATATTATTCGTGAATAATGTAATAAATTATGCGAGAAAAATGAACTAATTGAGCATTAAATTAGAGCAAATTTGAATTGCGTTGTGCATAAGTTAACTGATCTTTGAAAGAATTTTTAAGAGCAAATTACGCATCTCTTTCTTTCTGTCTCTCTCTCTCTCTCTCTCTAATTATTCTTGCATAATATGTGTGAACGGAAGTAAGCGTGCGAAAGCAACGCTCATCTTAGAAACAATCGACGATAATAGTCGGACAAGATCTTATAAATAATTAATTAGCGAAGAGTACGTATTATTATATAAGTTCAATTATCCATCGGGGGGGTCCATCAGAAGAATCAATCTTGATTTTTTCGATCATTATTTTGCCTTCTTCAAGAATCGAATCTTGAAGAACCTTGGTATTTAAAATATCATCGAGAAATCAATAGTATCACGTCAGACAAATTTCCGCACGTGTTATATTAAATATTATACAAATGGACGTGACATTATGTTAATTTGACATTTTCTCTCGAGACATTTGAAAAAATTTTTCAAATTATTCTTTCGCGGTGACACGAGTGTTGAAAACATATCGATACATTTGCGTGCGACCTTTGTGGCTCGACAGAATTGCAAAAAGTCATCGAGGAGCAGTTCATTATTCACAGTTACATTGTCGATATGTATACGTACATACGTATGTATTAGTTGACCTGAAACCGGTTTCGCCAAGAATCGAGTCTTTGTCTACGCCGATTTGGAAGGAAATAAATTTGGGATAACGAGGCGAATGTGCAATTTATGATTCTAAATCAGACAGAAAATGAATGCATCGTCTCTTTTAAACTTTGCGGTAAAAATCGTTTCGAGTCTCATTACTTCTTAAATGAAACGTTCGCAAAAATGTCTACTGTGAGAAATTGCTTGCTGAAAAAATATTTTATCAGCAAATATTTGTTTTTCCACTGCAAACATTGGTACGATTATAACTAAAGCGACAGAGAGAAGGAAAGACGCATTTAAGTCTAATATTTAAATCTAATAAAAATATTTGGTAAACAAAATTTACTTCGATTACAGATATAATGCAAAATGCTTATTTTATATATATATATATATATATATATATATATATATATAAAATCTGCGGATTCGCAAACGGAATGTCGTATTCTTGGCTCGGGAAAATAACAGAACCGACGCGATTAATTCGCTGAAGAAAGTCTTGTAACGGCTTCGGGTTCTCATTTCTGGACACACCGTTTTATCCGCTGCACATTTTACGACTTTCCAGATATATGTATATGTATACAGAGCCTGCTTTGTTCTCATTTTCGTTATCGCAGGTCACGGTTAGTGCTGGGCATTAAAAATCTAATTATGCAAAAATATTTTTTTCTTCAATCTGCATCGATTTCGCGCGACACGCAGATAATTGCAGCATCCCATTAAGACTTAGAATTTTTGTTTAACTTAAGAAAATTATTATTCTATAGATAATCAGTTAATAATAAGTATTACACATGATAATTGCAATCGTCTAAAATATAGCACTTATAATAAGTGCGTTACATATATTAATATAATTGAAAACACATATGGAATCTTATCTTAAATACTAATTGGCCTTGCTTTATTAAGATCAAGCAACTATAAAAAAATAATATACTCTTCTATTGATGTCGTGATTAGCGTTATAATGAAGCGCAAACAATGCTTGATGGTGAAAAATGACTGGGTATTAATTGCTGACGTCGGTTTGAGTCTTTGTTGCTTAATATGTTTGCAATTTCGTTCTTCAAAATTACACGTAGCTGTACATATTGGATTCTTCGTAAATATTAATTTTCGATGACTCGTTTTAAGATTTATAATTTCTTGTGTTTTTAGATTATCACACGCAGATGCATTTCGATCGCACAATCTCTTCGAGATCGATTTAGCATGATATGGCGATTCTTCACGTTGAAGCAAAGATTTGATGTGAGTTTAGCTTATATATTTAACAAATATAATTATTAAAGTTACTGAATATTGATGCAACGAAAATAGATTTTGCGGTTCTTGAGTAAAAGGGGAATAACTAACCGACTAAAAGGCAGTTTCGTGAAAAGAAACGTCAAACAGTCAAAGTTTACTTTACGAATCACACGAAACGTAAATCAAGGCCTTTATTCACGGAATTCGTTGAAGGCTTTAAACACATTGCTTCTCTCTTTTCTAAGACAAAATTCCATTTATTCTGCCGAAAAATATTTTTTATTTTATTTAAAATCTGTAATGTGTATTAACATATTAATATATTTATTATAAAATATAATAAAATATTTAAATAATGTACCTTGTATATAATAATTATCATACACACGTATAATTTATAGTAATTATGCTATCTTCGATATAAAGAGTAATTTACGATAAAAAGCTTATAACATATTTTAATATTTACTTACATTGATCAATTGGTAAAAGAGTTCTAAAAATAAAATTGAAATATTTAGCAAAAAATAATAGAAACTGTATAACGATAAAAATGTAATTAAAAATGTAATCTTTGAAAGAGAGAGGGAGAAAGAGAAAGAAAATAATAGAAACTATATAACGATAAAAATGTAATTAAAAATGTAATCTTTGAAAGAGAGAGAGAGAGAAAGAGAAAGAGCGAGAGAAAATAGATCAACAAGCTAATATAAAAAATTAAGAAGAAAAAATATTTCGTTTTAAAAAATTTACTATCTAAAATAACGCAGAACGGATTTTATTCACAGATGTTCCACATCTTGAAGGCAGTCCTTCCGTTTTAGCAGCGATGGGAACGATGGGATTGCCCAAGGGATATTTTCTGGCAGGGTTAATTATTGAAACGGCAATGGCGGGTGCCATGACGAGGATGAATCCGACCGAGGATCCAGGGACTCCTGAAGAACGCAAATGGGAGAGGTGACGTACCACCCAGTGATGCGGAAACGGCGTGGAGTGGGCAGCGCCTTTCTGGGCCTCTTTGTAGGCCTGATTCTAGGTTTTCTGATCCTCAGCTACCGTTTGACTGTCTCCAATCAACAACAGCTCACCATCTGGACCTCCATGCCCGGTTTACGGTCACCGCCAAAAGCGTCGGTCCGAAACATACCAAGGTTAAAGGACGACGAACGAATCAACAGCTCCACCTCGAATCTGTTGTTCGTGGGTGTAATGACGGCTCAAAAGTACCTGGACACGCGAGCCAAGGCTGTCTACGAAACCTGGGGCAAGGAGTTACCCGGCAAGATAGCCTTCTTCTCGTCGGAATCGTCAACGGTACCTGAAAACTGCCCTGATTTGCCGTTGGTGCCTCTTCCGCGAGTGGACGATACCTATCCGCCGCAAAAGAAATCCTTCATGATGTTGGAGTACATGTGGAGCAACTTCGGCGATCGCTTCGAGTGGTTCTTGAGGGCAGACGACGATGTGTACGTAAGGACAGATCGGTTGGAGAAGCTGTTGAGATCCGTCGATTCCAGAAGGGCGATGTACATCGGACAAGCCGGTAGAGGCAATTCGGAAGAATTTGGCCTGCTATCCTTGGAATATGATGAGAATTTCTGTATGGGTGGTCCCGGAGTGGTGCTATCCAGAGAGACGCTCGCAAGGATCGTACCGCACATCAAATACTGCCTGCGCCATTTGTACACCACGCATGAGGACGTCGAGCTAGGTAGATGCGTGAAAAAATATGCCGGGATTCCCTGCACTTGGAGTTACGAGGTAATCGTTTCTCGATTCTGATGCATATAGAAAAGTAACATTGGTGTGATTGTATGCAGATAAAACGTAACTGATAAGAGAATATTTATTTACAAAGTAACGAGTACGATAAAGTGCAGCGAAGAGATAGTTTCTCATAAGAGTAATCTATCTTTTTCAAATTTTATCTTTCGAAGAGAAGATATTTTTAGAGAATATTTTCAAACCCTATGATAAAATCTATTGATAGCAAATAATGCATCTTTCAAAAATATTGTGAATCAAGAAAAATAAATAATAATATATTTATAAATAAAAATTAAATTAAATTAAAGAACATATGTATCGCAGTCTATCGATTCGTTCGTTTTATTGCTAAAAATACGATGCATTATACGATAATTATTTGAATATTTTTTATCTTATCGTAAAGTACTTACTAAATGTTATCTCGTTGATTATCATTATTGCACTTTGATTTCACACATACTCAACTGATTCACGTCGTTTATTTTTTAAGATCGACATGATAACATGAACTTCAATGAAATTTCGATTTCGGCAACTGATATATATTTAACATCCTGATAAATCGATTAGTATAGAATTTAATCTTCATATAATTAGCATAGAATTTAATCTTTGTATAATTAATTTATATTATTTTTTTATTATTATATTTATTCACTATTTTTTACAATTTCTTATATTAATTTAATTCTGCTATTATATTTATAAAAAAAGTAGAGTATATATATACTACATAAAGCATAGGTTTTTTCCACTCTTAAAATTCTACAAACCATGTGATTATTTTATCTTTTGTATTGTCCCGCGATATCGAAATTATTTTGGTCTGATTCTTTTTTCCTCGTCTCAAAGATTCTCTTGCGTGCACGAACCCGCAGAAACGCCTAACGATTTGTTGATTAATACGGATTAGACATGTGTTACAATTAGCGATCAAATCATTTTTTTAAATTTTCTGATACACGTTTCGCAATCGTTAATTGAGATCTCTTCGCGCGTTTCTTCGCGTGTAATCTTAGAATATTTATATCACATAATTAATTTTCTTTTTCACCGTTAAACTACGGATTTCGCGTAATGTGTTATATAATCAGGAATCAGAGCGCAATGTTCACATAACGGGTGTACGCCTAGTGTGTCGTATATTTACAGGTTTAAATACTCTACGCATGCATGTTGCATTATGTAGCCCGGGTATTCGCCATTAGACGAATTAGGTGCGGAAAGTACGATGCACACAAAGATGAGGATGTTTGTCGTTAAGTAAAAGTGAATCGTACCCTGCTAACCTAGTGGCCAGATGGAGACCATTCTTCTCCATCTTGATACTCGGTTGTACCGCTTAAGTAACAATTTACGCCACGAAGTGCTTGAACCTTCGACGCATGTCGCGATAATCAAATAGAATTGATGCGCGAATCTTTAAAGAGAGATCTGCAGAAAAAAAAAACATATTTCGAGATGAAACAGGAGCTTCGTGAAATTAATAAAAAAATGCGAAATTTTACAATAATATTTATAATAATTATTTATAATAATTTATTTTACAATAATAATAATTTATAATAATAATATATTTATAATAATTATTTATAATAAATTATTTTATAATAATTTATTCAATGCTCTATGGATATGTCTTAATTAAAATCGCATACAAATTGACATCGAAAGATTCGAAGGAATCTGTGCAAACACACACATATATACTTAATAATTTATTATTAATGATAATTTATTAATATGACATCCTTTATATTCAAAGGAAATACATAAAGATAGTATTGTTTTGTTACGAATGCGAGCATGGATTGTGATTGCCTATGCACTTGCGTGGGTGCATCTCGATGTGACACGCATTGTGGTGATATTACTATGCCGTACGATGCACGAATGAAAGGTAAAGTGCACGGAGATGAGGATGTTACTCGTTAAGATCCGAACAAATCGTAGCCTGCTAACCCAGTGCCTGGAGAGCTATTCGTTGCTGTCTTGACACTCGACGTAAGGTCGAAACACTTAACAATCAGTGCGTGTGTGCGACACGCGAGCTACGCCTACACTCTGCTGTGTTTGCACGCTGGCAATTTTTACGCGTTTAATGCACGCCGCGATTGATTAATCGAGGCCTGCGCGAGATTCGATAAGGGATTTACGAGCTCGGCAATGCCTTTGTTACTGCTTTTTAATTATGCGCGTCGGAAAGATCAACAACGCGCTATGACGTTAATTCCGCGAAATTAGGGGGGTCTTTAGCGGCGATAGCGAAAGTTGAATGAAATATTAAATCAGTGATCTTATCAAATCTCTTTCACGATGTTCCATGAAATGAATGAATAAAACATGGGTATTTTAAAGGGAAAACATTATTCTGGAATCACGATTCCTCAGAAATGTATACAGAAGGTTATACAACTTCAGAATAAATCTAATCTCGAGATTTGCATTTGTAATCTTTAGAATTATATTTACTGTTGAAATATATTTCAATATAAACTGTGAACTGTGAACTGTTGAAATATATTATAATATATTATAATATAAATGTGTGTAAATAAATGAAAAATATAGATACATGATTAAATTAAATAGAACTAAATTTTTGCAGAATCAAAAAAATATGAAAACATTTCAGAAATTTTCAACCATTATTTCGCGTTTTTTCAATGATTTTTTAATTTGAAGATTTAGAATTTGACGAAATTCACATTTTATTAAAAGAGGAACTAAAAAGCATAGGAATTTTTTTTTACATTGTGATAACTATTGGAGCAAGCGACGTGCTTGTCATTAACTGAAAAACCGCCGACGTAACTCTGTGAAACAAGAAGCCACCACACCCAGTATCGGGCTTAACACGCTTCGCGGGTTCGACATTTCGGGCGAGACATAGCGCACACAATAACGAACGTTCTTAACAGTAATTATAGTAGGTCGTAGTGCAATACACAGGCAGGAAATTCGTACTTTAACTCCGCTTCTGTCGGTGCTAATTGCCATTTGTCGAGGCTCGCTTGTGCGTGCATTTTAGACATTCGGAGCTCGAATACAGCTGTCTCGCGCGAAATCGACAGACGCGATACCATTGTCACGATGATTAAGCGAGAGCGCTATTCAATCGAGTAATTTGTCGTTCTTAAAGTTTCGGCCACGCGTCGATCGAGGATTATCGAATAAGAGAGACCCTGCAAGTTTCGACACGAAAGATTTCGTCTGCACTATTTTAATTATCTACTTAAGAAATTTTTTACAATTTATTTATTTAATTTCTCTGAATTTTAAAGATAGAAGAATATGATTTGCGAAGTTAAAGAATAAAATCGGAGATGATAATTTTTTTTTTAATATATTGATTCTAATCTTATCATAAAAAATAATGAAAATAATTATTCTGCATCAAAATAAATAGGTACGATCATATCTTTATCTGTTTGCTCTCGAAACTCATCATTCACGCATATATTTGTAATCTATCTATTGCCGTAGATGCAGTCCATTCTTTATCACAATAGCAGCGGGGTTCAAGCATTTACCGGAAATCTCAAGAAAAAGGAAGTTCATCGTGCCATTACTTTGCATCCTGTAAAAAGCGCGCCTCACATGTACAGGCTGCACAATTATATGAGGGTTAGTGTCAAGTATTATAATTACAATAATTACAGGAAAAGCTGGTTACATTTTATCTATAACTGTAGAATAACCTGTTGATAACCGTTATACGTGTAACCAGTAACGTTGCATGAACGATGCGAAGGAGAATCGCTTTTTTTTTTTTTTTTTTTTCAAATTGTATATTTACTGTCAGATTATTGCTATTATAAAGTTTTATTAAAATTTTATATTAAATTATCCGTTATATTAAAATTATCCGTTATATTAAATTATCCGTTATATTAAAATTATCATTACGTATACATAATATTTTCTATAATTCTCTGTTGATTGGTTTTAAATTCTAAAATTTTACAGGGACTGCGAATACAAGATCTGCAGCAAGAGAGGATTCACCTGCACAGAGACATTCATACGATGGCTCAGGAATTGGGAGTCAATCTTGAAACCTTAAGAAATTATAAAATAGCGGATGGTGTACGTCTTTTTCCGGTTGATCCTAATTCCGAAGATTACCCCGGCGACACGGACATACTAGGTGATTTCTCGCTTCCGCTATCCGACTCTACATGCATCTATATGTATATTACACAGCTTATAAAAAGAGAAAGAGGATAGAGCCTATGTTATGAGTCATTAAACAGTTAAAAATTTATTACTTTTTAGATTATAAAAATATCCACGAATTTTTTGTATCTATCTTAAATCAATATTATACAGTTTTGCAATACAACAAGCAAAGCTTTGTAACTCAACAAACACTTTCTTCTAGATACGTTTACTAATTATTTTCAAATTGTAAATAGTCAACAAGAAAAATATAAATATTAACAGACTTATAAACATATGACTAAAAAATAACAACGGTTTATTTTTTAAATTTTCTGTGTTACAATGTTTTATTTTACATAATTTTCCACACTGGTTTGCATCATTGTTTTCTGTCTATCAACATTCCTGCGATCTCTGGAAGCATGAAATATCTTCAGAATGATAATAACCCGCACTTTTTCATCGCGTATATAACTTTTACTGCATATCGCTATTAAATTAACGCTTCCGCATTTAACGTATGCATGGATAACTATACGCGACATACCATCGGGACACCGCATCAAAGAGAGAGGGAGGAAGGGATTATAAACCTATTTGAAACCGGATATGCAATCTTGCGGAGAGTCGAGAGAGAATCGCGATGCATAACTTTGTATTTATCATCACGTTGGATCTTCTTGGTGTTACATTTCACCGTGTCTCGTTCTTGGTTTTACCACAGAATCCCTACAACAAATGCATAGATTATAAATCTTAGATTGAATTTATGCGTATCTTATTATGATGTATCTTGAGAATTTCTTATCTTTGAAATCAAGAAACATGCTTAACAATCATTGAATTCCTTTTTCTACATTGTTTGTAGTTTAATTAGTAATAGATTATACATGTATTTATGCACATGCATATCTCCGTTTTCAATTTTTGCGAAAAACAATTGGAGCTTTCTAAGAAAAAAAAAGGAATGTTAAAATAACTTTTTATAATTTAATATTAAAGAAGAATTACATTGTTAATGATAATATGTTGGTAAGAGAAAGTGATAGAAGTAAAGAAATATTCAAAGATTTGAAAGATTTTAGAAAAGTAATTATTGATTTATTCATAAAAAAATTTACTTATAAAAAATTCACAAAATCAAATATTGTTTAATCTATCTTTGAAATATTTGCAAATGCGATTAAGTCAATGATCGTGAAGTAGACAATCTTTATTGATAAATCTACTCAGTTGAATTGGCTTATGCAAATTGATGACTGATGTAGTATAAAGATATGAAATGAGCATAATTTCGATTCGATTTCGACGTAAAATGATTGAAAAAGATTCATCATTATTATTTCAATCACTTTTATTTCCTATATCTTCCGCAGATTTATGCGATTACTGTATTAGAGCATTGATCTACATAATTCTGATCTATATAAGAATCTGCTATAAATCTAAATTAACCGACTGAAAATGGAGGTGAGCATAGCGATGCAATTGCATTTGAATTCTCGGTTCAAGGAACATTGAGATCTTAAAGGAAATTACCACATTTGCTTGCTTCTCCTAATTAATTCGTTGTGATTTTTTAATATTATTATATTATATTTTTAATATTATTATGTTATATTTTTAATATTATTATGTTCGTAATTTTTGATGCAAAGTAAGCTTTTAATAGCATGTAATTTAAAATAATCGATTGTTGTAAGAATAAAATTGTATGTCATCTTCTATCTTCAAAACGAAATCTTTCTTGATTAATTGGTTTATAAATTATTTTGAATTTAAATAACAGATTATAAATATATTACAAGTATATTTTTGTAAAAAATGTTAAAAGAAATTGATTATGTGAAATTAAATTTATATACTTTGAAAATTACTTTAATCTAATTTTATACTTTTAAATGAAAAAATAAGAATTCTTTAAATAATTTATTTTAAGAATTCTTTAAATAATTTACCTTAGATAACAAAATATTGTGATATATAATTAAATATCAAATATGGAGTTAAAGGGAAATTATCGTAATAAATTTTAAATAATTTTCATTAAAATATTTTTTACAAGAATTTTTTCAATTACTGACCAACTTTAAACTTCATTTTGCCATATCACGCATTTTTTTTAAAAGACGCAGTTTTTTGATAATTGATGCTAATTAAGAAAACCAGTCGTATTCATTGATTCGTTAAATAAAAAAATCTTGTTTGCACAGGTGTGCCAGCGAGTTTACGCTCATTCAAACCGACGACGAGCGACGAAGTGATTCCGTGGGACTTCCTTTCAAGGCTGGAATATAGTTTGACCGATTCTAATCCAAGGCGACGTATTCATAGCGACATCAAGGAGGGTTTGGAAGATATCACAAGAGAGGTCATGGCTTCCATTAATTCCTATTCGCGGCAGCGCGGTCGCGTTGTCGAGGAACGATCGGCTCTTTATGGATATAGAAGGGTAAACTCTTATGGAGCCGACACTATATTAGATCTTCTATTAGTTTATCGGAAGTACCGGGGCAGGAAAGTCACTCTTCCCGTCAGACGACACATTTATCTCCATCAACATTTCACTGGTATTTTCATCAATATTTTTATATTCCTCTGATTCTTTCTTGCTTCTTATTACAATTATATACATATTAGAATTTTACAATCATGAGTAAAAATATTCTTATAAAGTTTCTAATACATTTTAGAAAATTAATCAATCTATTTTATATTCACATGAGATTTTTTGCATTTCATATTAAATAAGAAAATTGTATAATATATTTAAAGATAGTAGCCAAAAAGAAACACTGTTTAAACGACTAAAAAACTTGAATTAAAATTTATATAATAAAATAAAGGATTTAAATTTTTATACTTTATGTAATCAAAAGTAATAGTAATTGAAAAGATAATAATAATTTATAATTATAAATAAATAAATTATTTTGTTTAAAATTTAGTTACACAGTCTAATACTTATGTACTGATACTTACTGTACTGATTAAATTCATGATAAATATTTTAAATAACATATTAAAATAGTAACTATTTAAGCACTTACCGTAAATATTTTTGCAGGATTAGAGATACGCGAGACAGTAAATGGCGTTGAGGTCCAATCTCGTCAGAAATCAGATGATAAGTCTATTCACAGTTTATTTCATCGTGGCTTTCTAAACCTGAATTTTAACTCGGAAGAAGAAGAAGATTCGATACGAAGCAAGACTATCAATTTTATCGTACCTCTGTCAGGTCGCTACGAAATCTTCCAAAGGTTTCTTCAGAATTACGAAGACATCTGTTTGACTAGCGGTGAAAAGACGGCTCTGCTCGTCGTACTTTATCCGCACAAAAGCGAAAACTCTTTCAACAAGACGATAGATCTGATCGAGCGGCTCAAGTACAAATATCGCACTGCCAACATAGAGATTCTGCCAATTTCCGGAGATTTTTCCAGAGCCAAAGCCTTAGATTTGGGTGTGTCGAAACTACAGGCCGATGATCTGATGTTGTTCATCGACGTGGACATAGTATTCACGAGTTCGGCATTGAATAGGATACGATTGAACACACTACCAGGTCGGAGAATGTACTTTCCGATCGTTTTCAGCCAATATGATCCCAAGGTAATTTATGGTAAGACCGCAAAGCAAGACAAGTTTATCATAAATGAGATCTCTGGACACTGGAGGCAATATGGATTCGGAATCGTCTCTCTATATAAGAGAGATTATCAAATCGTGGGCGGTCTGGATCTCTCGATTCAGGGATGGGGCAAGGAGGACGTGGAATTTTTCGAGAAGGCGGTAAAATCGGATGTCGATGTCTTCAGGGCAGCGGACAGACATCTTGTGCACGTGTATCATGAAATAGAATGCAGCAGGGAGCTTGCTAACCTGCAATTGTCCATGTGCATTGGATCCAAGACTGACACATATGCCGGGGTCGAGACTTTAGCTGGTATGATTTACGCTAATCCGAACATATTGCGCTTTGCCAAAGAGAGGAGACAAAAGAGGACTAATCCTGCTGGTTAATCTTCGAGTCTGTGAAATAAAAGTGATAAAATCTGTGAAATGGGCTATCGAAAATAATATTGTTCTGAGAAACAATTTACTTTAATTTTATTATAAATTATATAAGGGATCTGTAAATAATATGTATCCCATCAAGATAAAAAATATTTTTCTTGTTACATTTTGGTTTTAGTCGTGGGGTTCATCTTATAATGTGTCGATGAACTATCGGACGTTCTGAACTTCGGTGCCAGAATATTTCGTCATTATTTAAGTATTGTAAATATAGAGTGCGAGATTGTGTGAGACGAACAAATAAAGATTAATGCACTCTAATGATTCACTGCGTGGCAAAATGTATATAACGTATCAAAGCTTTGATTGAGAGCGCAAAGTTTTGATTATGAAGATATTATGTGTAATGATATTCGGAAAGAATAGATCTGGAAGAGTCAATGAAAATCACCAAAGTCACAAGTTACATATTAGTAGAATTTTATGAAAAATAATTTCCATTTTTCGTTGCTAATTTATATAAAACGATATTATTCTTTATAGTTAAACGATATTATTCTTTATTGTCAAACGATCTTTTTTATCGAACGGAAAAATTGTTGAAAATAAATTGACATACTTTTTCATATGTATTGATGTATTTTTACAGTTACAATTGCCAATATTTTTAGGAATTAAATGTAATCACATATACATTTTATAAAATCATCAGCTTAGAAAGTAAGTTTGAATATTATAAATAAATGTGATATTATCGTGCCTTTTATAAATTTTTTTCGTAAATTTATGTATTATTAATCTGGAAATGTAGATACTTTTAAATTATCATTCTACAGTCAGAATATAATATACGCTTTATTGAACAAAATTCTTATGTGTTAAGTAATAACATCATAAAATTAATAATATTTTCTCCTCTTTGTCACTCTTCAAAAATAAAATATGATATGTAAATATTATTGACGATATTTTCTTACATATTATTATTTGAAAAACAAAAATTTAATTATTTAAACTGTTTATATAAGTGTAATGAAATATAGATATTAATAAATTTTATTTTAAATAAATTAATATCACATATAATTAATTGTTAAAAGTTTATCGTATGTATAGTTCGAGAAGAAATACTAAGAGATTTGCTAGTATATTATCGGAATAATAACTACGATGGACTGCTGAAGTTGCATTTTTTCGCGTTCTCCATTTTTTCTTGTAATAGTATAAATATCATAAAAGCATCCAACTAATTAATATTTCAAAGGATATTCTATGATTATATTTTAAATGTCCTTTGGAGTTTTATCTCTTAACTTTTGTTTCTGAAAATTAAAATATAAAAAATTGGTATGCATATTTATTTATTAAATTGTAAAACTGTTTATCTCAAAATATCTACTAAAGATCTTTGATGTTGTAAAAGCTTTATACAACATTCTTTTAAATAAGTTAAAATCATATAGAAAAGTTCAGCTTCTGTAAATTATAGCAATTTTTTATCGTCGTTCCAAATTTGATATTAAGAAATTAATCAATCATTTATCAATCTCATTTCTGAAAAAATGTCTAGAGATTATAATTTCTAGAAAACTCTGTAATCGGAAGGAAGTCAAACTTCATTTGAAAAATGAATAATCGCAAGGAAACGAAGCTAGAAAAAAATTGATCTCGCGTTAGCTCGAAGAAGCGATAACTTATCGAGTAAACAGTTTGAGAAAACAGAGTAAAAGCAAATAGCTAGAAACACAGTAAATAGTGTAATTGGTAATATATGATTTATTTGTGACAATAGAGATAGTAACGAAATATAATTTTTCATGATGCAACGTATCACATGAAGAAAAATTGATTATTTTTCTTCGTGTGGTACGTTGCACCATGAGAATTGAAAACAGGCGGTTTGGAGCATATTTATGAATCATCAATTATCATTATAACGTCTGTGAAGGTATTGTTATATGTCTTGTCGCATAGATTGTATTGTAAGTGATAACTTACGAAGCTTTCGCGAATAGCATTTAAGGAAATAGAAAATGAATAATGAACAGTTAGAATCGCAATAGATAATAGTAACTTATGAAACATGACTTGTGAAAAATACGACTTTTTTACATTGCATATATTCAAAATTGACATTGTGATTTAGAATACGTGAGAATATAAATATTATATAATAGTGTTTTTGTATTACACACAATGTTTATATATCACAGCGCGACTAAAGCATATTGAATAATGCATATCTGATAATTCAGCGAGTAATGAATATGATTACCGGTATAGTGATGGCTCAAAATGTTTTCTCAAAGGTTCTAAAAGCTAATAAAAAAATAATCTTTCTTTTTCAATTAACAATATTAATAAAATTACAAAATTTCTTTTTTCCAAAAAATGGAGATGCAGCAGCACATCGAGATGTTTGCTTTATGTGGTTTCTATAACACTCATAAATATCTTCATCAATTTATCTTTGTTATTATTATTATCATCAGGATATTATCAAGATCCCGAAAATTTTACGTATAAAGAATTTCATATTCGATCAAATTTTCGAAAGAGATTGATAACACATCTTATGTTAATCAATGTCTCGTGTTATAAATTTGTCTTAAAAAAAAAAGACTTCGTTGGGGTGAGAATGTTTTTATTATGTATTTACCTAGAAAGGCAATAATAACTGATTTGTTTAATTTTAATATTTTCGAGTGTTTTTTTGATATTTTTGATAATTTTATATAATTTTTAATAATTTTCTATAAAGTTTTCCATGAGCGAAACTCATGGAATGTACAAAATACACGCTACACGAGACCAGATTATAAAACCAAGCGCGAAGGAAAAACAAGCTCGATCCGACATTTATTACGGCATTGGTAGATAACGGTATAAAAACGTGTCACTTAAGCTCAAGGTCATTTGCGCTAGACGACGCATTTATAAGACAATATTTCCGCGCGAATTCTCAGTGCGGTCGTCAGCTCAATCACGCGTTACACTTTGCAAAATACGCGAGGTCATCAACTTCGAACAAAGAGACGCGTCTCGAACTAACGAAATTGGAAAAATTCAGCGAAGAATTGAAAACAATCCAAATAATCACTTGCTTATTTAAGTGTATATATTATTAGTGCTCATATTCACAACAAACAAACTTCGATTCCAGAATTATTAGTGTTGCATCAGCTCAGGACAGCGAAGAATATTTTTATTTTGCTGTGCAATATTTTCCGGAGGGAAAACCACTGCCTAGAATGGAACATCAACTTTAAGTTTCTAAATTTGTGAAGAATAAAATCAAGCATAAAATTTTAGTTCCTTTCTATAAAATCGAGCAATTGTTTCATCAGTGATCTCAAAAGTCGCAGTTTGCACTAATTGCTTCGACGCAACTTTGGCTGTAAATAATCAATCGTTGAACGATGAGGAAATTTTGGATGATCCTATCCATTTTGACGGTCCTAGCTATCCGCTCGCCGGTAGAGGGAAAGAAACTCACAGAATGCGAGGTCGTAAAAGAGTTGGAGCGAGCCAAAATCAGCAAGAGCCTGTTCAGCAATTGGGTTTGTCTGATGAAAAGCGAAAGTGGGATGGATACGGCGCTAATGACTGGTCCAAAGACAGCATCCAGCTATTCCTTCGGCATCCTCCAGATCAGCAGCTCCAAATGGTGCACGAGAGGACGTAAAGGTGGCATCTGTAACAAACGCTGCGAGGATTTTCTGGACGACGATATAAAGGACGACATTGCGTGCGGGAAGAAGATTTTCGATCAGGACGGATTCAAAGCATGGAGCGGATGGATGAAAAAGTGCAAAAATAAGCCGCTCCCCAATGTGCCTTCCCCACCTTGCAAACGAAGGAGAAGAATGGTGCCTCCAATCGAAGAAATTGACGCTGCGCTTGTATGATTGGAACAATTCGTTTGATGCACTGATTGCCGATACACGAAACTCAATTTTATTTCAACGCACTGTATCCTTTGCTAAAATGTTGCATGTGTGTAGAAAATTCCATTAGATTTCAACATTATTTTCCATTAACCGATTTCTTATTTGGTCTCACCAGTAACGACACGTCTTCGTCTAATGCATTGCGCGAACAAAATACGCCGGTACGCTTTATAAATATGAATCTAATTCGATTGGAACGGTTTCAATTATGACGCAAAAGTTCGTGGTCGTTTTGAAGTCACTTTTGAACGCGACTTGGCAGAGAGTGACACGAGAAATACGAAATAGTTACGAAATTCTAGCTACTAGAATGACAAAAATATACGTGATGAGACTTTGTCAGTGTCTTCCCGATTTCATATCTTTTTATTCGTGTACGACATTTCAGAAAATTATCTCACAAGCCCGCACGTCGTAAAATTTAAAGATAAAAAAGGGCGAATTTTGTTTGAAAATCGAAATTACGTCTTTATATTTACAGAAATAAACTCTTAAGAATCTCTCTATAGAAAAGAATATTACAAACAGCAAGTAATTCTTTAACCATAAAAATGTTTTAAGTTGAATAATGTCAAGCTAGATCAAATCTTAAATGCGACGTAACATCAAATGTTTAAAAAATATTATAAAGATGTTTAAAGAAAAAGCATTTTAATTTTTAGATTTTTAGATTTTTTTGGATACTTTATATAATTATTTTTTATATATTATATTTCTGTTTTTCTGTTATTTGAGAATCTAAATTTTGATATTTTATAATATTTAACTTGTGTTAATAAAACATTTGATTAATATTATATGAAGTTAATTATATTTTAATGTACCTATAATGAAATAAGTGATAACTATTGTTGATCATTCGTTGATTGTTAACCTGTAAGCTGTTACAATAACACACAGATAAATTGCATCTTATACATATAAATATTTCGGAGATTTCAAAATTTTTTAAAAACATCTTGATGCAATGTACTATATTTTAATTAAAAATTAACTTAAAAGAAATAAATAAAGTGCTTAATTTTTTTCAAAAAAAACATTTTATTTGTTGTATAAATTTGTCCCAAATACAATTGAGCAAACATAAAACATGGTTCTGATAATTCTGATACCAATTTCGTATGACGCAATTCTCGAGCCATTAATCATTCAATTCAACAATTGTATCAATAAACGAATTCTATTGGAATACAATTGAATACAATTGGAATATAATCATGACACAGCTGCTTACAGATTTGCATTAAGGAGAAACGATATCAATTTCCAAGGCTAAGAGATTGAAAAATGTTTATATAGTTATATAATGCATTCCTCATCTGTTCCTTTAATTGATGTACTCTTTCGAATTTGATATCATAGTCAATAGCAGATTTTAATTTCTCAAAATCAATATCATACGTCCATGTTTTAGTTCATTTCAATCTGTGCGAAATAAATTCAATATTATTTATGATAATCACACATAACTACATCAATAAAAATATTTTTCTTCATAAAATAGTGAGATAAATAAAATAATGATGAAATAAATATTATAGTTGTAGCAAATAATAATTTTGATAAAAACTTGAATCATGACGCCAATAATAATTCTACCAAAAAGCACATCTAAATAAAATATATTTACTAACGCGAGAAAAATTGCGATTATTCTCAAAAGAGAATAAATTACCTATAACCAGAATCTCTCCGCGTTTCTCTTTCTGTCTTGAAAATCGATTGAATCAGCTGCCTAGATTCGTACTTATGATGCATAGGAAGCGCGAGATGGCAAGCACGTGATTAACTGCATAACGGAGTGTTTGTGCTCCGAGTGAAAGATTCCAAACTGATATCTACCATCTTAGATGCTCTATTGAATTTCAACGATTCGTAAGATTATTTTAACGCGTCGAGGATTTTTCAAAAATCCTTTCTTTCGCAATAATCGTATTGATGTCTTCTCGTCGCAGTTTTTGACGTGCTATTTACACCCGACAAGATTTCAATCGGAATGAATTTACGAGAGTCAACCGGAGTCTATCTCTCTCCAGGCTAGATCGCTGGCAGTTCGCTAACGGAACATCGGTGTACTTGGCTGGCTCGAGCGATGCGAGGATGCACGTAAGCGCACTTTATCATAGCCCCCGGCTCGAGTGCAAGCACCTTTCACTAGCGGAAGTGAACACAGCTGAGAGAGGCAGACGCGTGAGAGCAACCCAGGTCATCACTCGTTCGTTACGGACGATCGTGCTCCGTGCGAGCTAAGGCATCGCGAAACGTACGTTTAAATTGTCGATATATCACTAATTGGCGAACGATCGGCAATTGATTCATTGTCGAATCTTTCGTAACTTGTTCTAATGAAACGACGCAAGAAGGAGAATAATCTTACCGTATCATGATTTATGGTTTTAATTTTCTTAATTTGAATATTTATCGAGAGATTTGTGTTCTTCCTTTCGATGAAACAATCGATGAAATTGGCCATTATCATCTTATTAGCAATATTGTAGGTGTGATGAGGATGATGGTTATTTCTCCTTCGCTAAAAAATTCGTCAACACAGAGTGATTGAGGAAGATGCTTGCGCGAGTTTCGAATAAACGCAAACTTTCTGGTATCATCACGCAGCAATTAATCATGTCGCGTCAGCGGGATGTGTGAAGTAAACGAATAACGTATGAAGACGCATTTGCGCTTTCTCAGCGACTTATGATTGCGCAATTGCGCGAAGATGGATGCACGCATACACACGCGCATACGTACAATGTGACGAGTCTCTCAGCGGTTTCGGTGTTGGATCGATGTCCCGTCTTTGCGAAAGAAAGGCAGTTAATAGCGAAAAAAAAAAAAGACATTTACCATCGCCGATTTATACAGGGGAATAAAATTATACGGGAAGTAAATCTATAAACTCTTATCCGAAGCCAAGCCGCGCGTAACTTTGCCACGCAACCTTTTCCCCACTTTGTTATTATCTCCGACTTTCTTTCGATATCGATCTTATTAATGATTATTAACGATCTCTTTGCCATCCTTTTCATTACTTCGTGAAATTTTGATTAGATCGCTCGATAAGTTCGATTAGTTCAAATTTTGCGATCAAATGTTGCAGACACAAGAGGATGATGATAATAATCGAAGAATTAAAGATAGAAGTAATGAATCTACTTTTCAGAAAGACGATTTCAACAACTTCAATTTTCTTTATTTTAGCAATTCTGTTTAAAAGAAATTATTGCAACATTTTAATCGAGAAAGATAAATTGTTCGATTCTTTTATATTCAAGTTTATAATTTTATAGCATCTGAATTTTAAAAATTAAAATATGTCTGAGCTAGATAATGTTCAGACCTATTTTAATTTTTAAAATTCTTTATCAGAGAATTTTGAAAATAATAAGCCGCCTTTAGCAACATTGATAATGGCAAAAATAATTAAAAATTTCGCAATTCAATTGTAATAAAATTCGTGGAAATTTCCGGCAACTCGGAATCACGCAATTCGAAGTGACATGTTTACGATGATCGGATTTGTATGGTGAATGTGACCGAGACGGTGAAAGGTTCAATCTTTCATATATTCGAGGTGTAATGATATTCAAAGATGGAAATTAAGCTTCATCTACTCGCCTAATGTTCTTATCTGCGGCCAGCATCATCAAGACTCGTGATTATCCGGCGCTCGGGGATATCTAGGCAGGAATCTTTATACACGCGATATGTGTGTGAGTACATCTACTATCTTTATACACGCGATATGTGTGTGAGTACTCACACACATATCACGTGTATAAAGATCGAGATCCGCGAAGAGAACCTAGACCCGCGTTAGGATGTGATCTCCTTCTCCCGGAGGTAAAGCTACGCTTACACCGCTCATTTTAATGGCCAACATAGCTTACACGTTTACGTTGTAGCTAAATAATGCATCGCTTGCATAACGGCAAGCTACGGAGTCGATAATATGCAGAACAATGCGGATCTCTCGCGAATAAATCATCTTGTTCAATTAAGTCAAATCTACGCTTACAATCTCGCAAACACAGGGATTTACATAAATGTTAATCTTGCAAATAATTGGCAATTTAAATATATTTCATATATCCATGTTTTTCAAAATTAATAAAAAAAATATAGCAGATAGATTATTATAGATACATTTTTATATTCACATTCTTTTATTATTACATTCTTTTATTATTACATTATTTTTTATTATTATTACATTATTATTACATTCTTTTATTATTACATTATTATCACATTCTTTTATTATATTCATATTCTTTTATTCAATTTAGATAGAACTATGAATTCCAAATAAAACTTAAATGTGCAATTAAAATTTTCAGAAAATAATATTATATAATAATATAATAATAATATTATAATAATATATAAATATATTATTGTAATATTATTATAATATAATATATTATAATAATGTATATATATATATATATATATAATATATTTATAATATTATTATAACATAATATATTATAAATATATTATGTTATAATAATATTATAAATATATTATAATAATATTATTATATTAATTAAATTTTTTCAGATAATAATATCGTAATAATATAATATATAATAATTGCAAAATAATATTCTATATACTAATCATCAGGAAATCGAATTACACAGTATATCCTTCGATCAATGATATGCATTTTATACTCATCCGACGCGAACGCTGCTTAAAACGTTAATCCAGTCACAATGCGGAAAGGAGGAAGTAACAGGTTGATCGTTCGACACTGTAGAACGAGAGAATCGTCGATCGCATCTCGGTGAAACTCGAACGTGGCTCAGTCGACCTCTGCAAGGGTCGCTGTGCCTTCCATCGAGGAAAGCGAGACCCGATAAAGCGAAACAAGCGCGGAAGCGAGGACGGTCGTAATTGTGCGATCGCGCTTAGATGCAGGAATAGCTCGTCGGATGACTCGGGATGGAAGTCACGAGCGCAAGAGTCACGCAAGGGAAAATGAAGAGGGTATTTAACGGGGCCTCCTTGCGAAGAAAAATTCGACACGCGACGGATTCGCGGCTGGCAACACGATTCTGGGTCATCTCGCATAGCGTGTTTTCAATCGAAAGTAACTGGAACCGTTTGATCAGGGATCAAGGTGATCTCGCGTGAACGTATGTCGAAAGTTTCGGCTGTGGAATCTTTGGAGAAACCAGGCGCGATCCGACCTCCTCTCTCGGGTCGATTAATTTAGAAATACGCAGACGACACGACGTTGTTTCGCTATCAAGCAATTGCTCAATCGTTAAGTAAACGCGCAACTAGAATCTACAAGTTGACGTAACGAAAATCACCGGTCAGCTGATTCGATTTCACGTCGTTAAACGACGATTACGGAAAATCTCACAACACGTCCTGTTTCCACGCATAAAATGCGTGTCGCGTGAATAAAAATTTGTAAAATTTCGCATACACGAGATTCTACCTTCCGTGACTGTCTTTTCCTGTAGAAAATCAAAAATATTATGATACAAATTAATTGGCAGACAAGGATAGTAAATCTTACATGAGCGATAAAATGAATGTAAAAAGACGATAAACGCGACTAACACTCAACGTAATAAATCAAACGAATAATTAAGTGACTCGATAAGGA